ATAGGCAGGTCTGGCATGTCCAGGAGCCATCCCAATGGGGTGGCAGTTCGTGCTACTGGTGAGGAGTAGGCCAGAGGAGGGCACCCAGACCAGGGCTGAGGCTGCTGTTAAGGCCCCATACTGTCCAACTCTCAACCCAGGCTTGGGCTGCCAAGGAGAGCCCCTGGGTGCAGCAGCTGGAAATGTGAGGCCCTACAAGCCCCAGCTTTGGGCCCAACTGACCACTGGTCCCCGGGAGACACCCCCCCTCCTCAAGAGCCCTGGTTGTGGCCAGCCCCGGGTAGCTTGGGGTACTCCCCAGTGACTCTGGCTGGTCTCAAGTTTTAGGTCCCACAGACCCTGTCCAGTACAGCCTCAGGACACACACAAGCCATTCTGGGCAGTTTATTGAGGTTTTAGGGTTGGGGTAGGGGAGGCGGCACGCCGTGTGTGCATGCAGGCTCAAGGAAGGATACTTCCCACATGCAAGCACACACCCACAGGCCGAGCAGTGTCCACACATCTCCCAACCCCAATAAGGAGCCATGGCCTTTGGGGCGCAGCGAATTCTGAGCTGGTCCCGCCCCCTGCTTTTCCAGGGGGCTTGGCAGACTTGGCAGGGACTAGGGCAAGTGTCCTCAGCCTCCCCCTGCCCCCCACAGTGGAAACCCCGGGGCTCTGAGGTGTTCTGTCTCAGACCCAGGGCACCAGGGCTTCCCACTGTATGGGGGAATGAATCCTCTGCGACCGCCAATCTCCTGTTGTCCGGGTCGGGCTGGCCTTGGCTGCCCTCGCTCATGTCATTGGAGCCCAGGGCTGGGCTGGCAGTGGATGTCCATTCTGGGGCAAGAGCTGCTACCTCCAGGAGTTCTGCCTCATTGGGGCAACTGTGGGGAGGGCACAGGCTGAGGGGACTGAGGAGGCCCCAGGAAGACCCTGTCCCACCGAAAGTGGGGAAGACACGACATACTCTCTGGACTCAGGCCGGACACTAGAGCAGGATTCTGAGGGGTCCTTGTGAGGGGCTCTTCTCTGGCTGGAGGCAGAAGATCCTATGGGGAGATTAGGTCAGCTTGGAGCTGGGCCAGGCCTCCCACCCACCTGGCCTCCCTCCAGAACCACTCTGACCTGTGTGCTGAGGGGGCCCCTGTCTGGCCGGGGGGGTGGTGGCAGTGCAGCACCCGTCTGCTGGATGAACTGCTGCAGGTTACACTGACGGAGCTCCCGGTTCAGCTCCTCAAGTTCCTGGGCTTGGGCCTGGGGCACAGGGAGCCCTCAGGGGACACAGCCATAGGGCTCCATGGCCTCATGCTCTCCCTAGTCTGACCCTGAGACCAACCCCCAAATCTGCTCACATTGGGGACATCAGCAGGGGCTCGGGGGCCTGTGGGCTTACCTGCAGGGCGTGCTCGGCGGCCTCCAGGGCCCTGCTCACCAGGGCCAGGCTGCCTTGTACCTGTGCGCTCTGCCGTTCCTGGGCAGCCAGGTCCTGGCGCAGGCGTTCAGTTGCAGATGCTGTGGGTGAGGGGGGCCCAGGGGCCTCAGAGGCCAGATGTAGTTCAGCCTCCAGGGCACGGGCCTGGGCATCCAGGGCCTGCAGCCGGGCAGCATGCTCGGCAGTGGCTGCGCTCAGGGCCTGCAGGCGCACCTGCCCCTCACGCTCCCGTGCCTGCTCCCGCCGCAGCTCCTGTTCCCAGAAGGCCTCTTGACCCAGCTCCACTGCGTTCCTCCGCACCCTTCGCTCCAGGCTCTGCAGGTCTGCACAGGAGCCTGGGATTGGTGCTACCGGGGCCACAGGCTCAGGCAGCGCAGGGCTGGGGGCCAGCCCAGGGCATCCCAGGCTGAAGGTCAGTGCTTGGCGCTGCTCGTGGCCCAGGGCTGGCCGTGGCTTTGGGGGGAGGCTGGCTCGGACTGGGCAGCGCTCAGGAGGTGGGCAACTGTCTGAGGAAGGCCTCCCAGCAAGGCTGGGCCCTGTCCGCCTCAGGACAAACTGGACATCACTGGCAAACTGTCCACAGGTAGCCTGGGCACCCACTGGACACTCCTGGGGCAGCAGCTGCCGTTCCTTTTCCCTGAGACGCTGCACGAGCACAAAGCGGCCCGTCTGGCCTGGGGTAGGAGGAGACAGGTCAGCCTATGCACCCCTCCCAACACCCTCCATCCACCTGGCTTGAGAAGTTAGGGAAGGGCAAGAGGGATCATGAGCCAGCCCCACCCTTGATGGGGGAAGGGGCCCGAGGGCCAGGCCCCACCTCAGGTGCACCTGTTGGGCCATCTTGCCTGAAAGGACTCACCTATTGCTTGGGCTAGTGCTATGACCACTTCCTGACAGGTGGTTTGCTCCGAGACCCCACAGACCACGCGCTGTATGCCATCCACCCACACCTTCAGCTCCATCGCTGCTAGCCCGGAGAGCATCCCTGTCCTGCAGGGAGGACAAAGGCCACAGGGTCAGGCCCTGCCTGGCCCCACCACCGCCTGGCTCCTCTCACCTCCAGAAGTGGTTCAGGGCTACTGCCCCCTCCCCATGCCAGTCCTGCTCTCCTATGCCTAGCCCCACACGTAGGCCATACGTTGTCGGGGTGGAGGTAGTCAAGACCAGCCCCCCCAATGGGTAATCATTGTGCCCTCCAGAAGCACTTTGAAGCTCCCCGACTTCCCAGCCTCTTGCCCCGCCCCACTCCCGGAACAAGGCGAATCATTAACCAGATCCAGAACTTCCTGCCTCCCCAGTCACCTGGCTCGAAAGGCACTGCCCCTCCCACGGGACGCCGGCCTCAGGCACCCAAAGGCGCCCTCATGAAAACACGGCTTCCCGCTGCCATGGGAACGCCCCCTCCCCGCGACTCAGACCTCGGCCCTCCGGAGCCACGGAACCGCGCCTGGGCGACCCTCGCCGGCGCGGGCAGCCCTCTTCTCTCTCCCGCCAGCCGCTGCGCTCGCCCCCCAGGCCGCCGTCGCTGCTGCGGAGCCGCTGCAGGTGCGACGCGGCCCCACGGCGGCCCAGCCCGCGCCCCTCCATCGGAGTTTCTGCCCGAGGCAGCGCCCCGCACGCAGGAGGACCTGGGGCCCTGCGCGGCTCACCTGGGCGCTCGCTGGCCTCCGGGACGCAGACTCGAACCGGCTGCTTCCCGGCGCCGGGCGCCGCCGCAACCTGCCGCCTCCAGCGCAGCGGGCGAGCCCCGGCTCGCCACTCCATTGGCCCGCAGCCCGAGCGCCCCGCCCCGCGCCTCCCTACTGGCTCCCAGGGTCGCCCTGCCCGCCCTCCCCGCCTTGAACCAATGCCCATTGGCTGCCCCTCCTGTGCCCCGCCCCTCCCATTGGCTCCCCGCCCGCCCCGCCCTCGGCGGCGCCCAGGTGTGGGCGGAGCTCGGCGGCGCGGAGGGGCGGGCCGAGCCTCGTCCACGCACGCCTGAAGACCGCGAACTACGCGGAAGCGCGTCCCCGGCCGGCTGGCGGCGCGTGGACAGGTGTCTGGCTCCGCTCCCGGGCGGACTTCCTCAGAAGCCTCCCAGTCCGATAAGTCTCTTGCCTAGGGTGAGGGCACCGGCCTAGGACCCGGTAGCCTCTGCATCCAGAGGGGCAGACGCGGCGCCCCAAGGCCAGGGTCCCACCGACCCGGCTCCCTCAGGGCCGGTCGTCAGGACGCACAGGGGTCGGGAGCTGGGAGTCCCCGCGGGAGAGCGATGGCGCTCTCTGGCTGCAGCCAGGCTGACAGTCCTGGTGGGGGAGAAGGCTGCCCTGAAGTTGCTGGGGACAAAGCAAGACAATGACCCTGGGCTCTTTTCCCCCACCCCTCCCTGCCCCCAGTGGGGCCCAGTGCCTCCTCGAGTTGTGGACACACGCGGGCACCCTGTGCCTGGCAGAACCAGAGCCAGCTCAGCAGCCAGGGTCCCTCACAGCCTCTGCTGTCTGTGGACCAGGCTTTCAGAGCCTGCTCTGCCTCCTCACAACAAGCCATGGGGGGGTCCTCCTGCCTGCCTGTATCCTCCCCAGCACAGGAAGTCCTACAGAAAGGCAGAGTTGAGAGTCTTAAATGAATGAAAGTGAGGTGGGGGGACGAAGGCTGGAGGGCATTGGTCTGTGTGTCAGGTCTGGTGCCTCATTTTTGTTCTGGGGCAGAGGGAACTGTTATCATAGTTATGAGAGGGTCCCCAGGGCTCCCCAAGGTGGTGGAGATGAACTGGAGAAAGAGAGGCTTCTAACTTGTGGGTTAGGTAGGTGGGCATCAGCCTCTGAGTGCCAAGATGCTGTGGGAAGCACTCAGGAGGGGCTCACTGCTGGATAGAGTCCAGTAAGCCCCCATATGCAGGGCAGCAATGCCTCCAATACCTGCCGGCTGCCATAGTTAAGCTGGGGAGGGACCGTGGGAGCCTCCTCAAGGTTGGTTGGGGGCGGCAGACTGCGTGTGTGACCATGGCAGGCCCTGCTGGTCACTCTATGGTCCCCTGGGCCTGCTAAGGCCAGCTGGGCAACAACCCAGCCTTTCAGAGTTTCTCCTTCAGGCTGGGTCAGGGGGTGGGCCCAAGGCTCACTCAGGGCCCTGGTCTGGGGTTTCCCTGGAAGCTCCTGGTAACAAACAGCCCCTCCCCTTCTGAGTGCTGGTATCCATGGCAACACTCTAGCGCCTTTGTTTCCCTAGGTGTGCTTGGATTTCAGGCCTCAGGGGAGTGTTGGGGGTAAGGCCCTGGGTCTGGGGGCATCACAGGCAAAGGACCAGTCCCTCTGAGGACCCTTGCTTTAGGTTGAGGGACAGGACCTCAGGTCCTAGAAGGCAAGGGTGACAGGGGGACGACAACAGGAAATGTGCAAACACTCAGGTGACATGTTGCTTGTGGGGGGTGACCTGCTGCCTTGTCCTGGTCAGAAACATACCGATGTGAGCACACATGTGACCAGCAGTCTAGTGTCCTGTGGGGTGTGTGCGCACACACAGACCTCTTTGGAGTGGTACTGTCTAGGGCTGTCAGGCACAGGCAGACGCTCATGGCCACAGGGGCATCCATACGTAGGACACAAGAATGACAGTCACACTGTCCCTCTCAGCTCCCCCAGGAACATCAAGAATGGCCCCTGAGTCTTGCCAAGAGGCTGAAGAAGCTGAGAAAGAGGCTTCCTTATCCCTGGTGGACCAAGAGCCAGTCAATGGCCACCTGGAGCCTCCAGCTGGCACACCCCAAGAACCGGTGGCTCCCACATGCCCACAGGACACCAAGCCCAGCTCTCCACGGGTGGTCTTCTCTGTCAACCTGCAGGAAGGAAGGGAGGGAGGGGTGGTCAGCCACTTGGGCCTGGTCAGCCAGAGGGCAGGGCCTGATCGCTGGCATTGCAGGTTGGCCCCTGAGTCCCTGGACCCTCAAACCCTGCGGCTGCTGTGGGGTCAACGGGAACTAGAGATCCAGGCCCTGCGGTGGGCCATCCAGAACCACCAGGATGCCCGGCATTGCCACGTCCTGCACGAGGTGGCTGGACTTCCATCTGAGAGGTGAGCAGCCAAGCACTAGTCCCCCAGCCCAACCCAGCCTCTGTTCTGGCCCAAACTCCTGGTTTTTGTCTGACCCCATCCCCAACCACTGGTCCTGACCGACACTCCAACTTGATTCTTACTCTGACCTTTGCCTCTAGCCCTAAGCCTTACCTGGATCCTGACCCTCTACCCTAACCCTGAAAAAGTGAATATATTGTGAACGTGCCCAGATCCTAACTGAACACATTTTTAGTCACTGAACCTAGACCCCACCTACAACCCAGACTTCTCAGAGCCAGACCTGGCCTAGCCCCCTGGAACTCTGTGCCCTTGGGCCCCCAGTGTCAGTGAAGAGGGGCCCCTCCTTCTCCCTTTCTTGGCTACTGACCTCGAGTTGGGGGCTGCTGAGATTGCCCCTTCCCCCCAGGAGCGCACGCAATCAGGAAAAGTTCCTGCAGAACCAGGTCCAAAAGCTGACTCTGGAGTTGAAAGAACAGAAGAAACAGGCCCAGCTGGTGAGGGGCAGGTGGGATCAGGGAGTTGGGCAGGGGACCCAAGCTGGGGTGAGGATCAGGGGCCAGGTAGGGGTTGGCCTTGGGGGTCGGCACCTGGAGAAGACCCTGCCCACCTATGCACCCTCCTGGAGCAGGAGAAGTCCCAGCTGGAGGAACGTCTGCTGCAGACCATGACCACGATGCAGCAGCTGGAGGCTGAGCTGCAGGCCTTCCAGAAGTCCTGCCTCCTGCAGCTGGCCCGCTCCTCCTGGGTGGGTCGCATACTACGATCTTCCACCGGCAGTGTGGAGGTAAGCCCCATTCGGCCCACCCTCCTGCCTCCCGTGTCCCCTCCCCAACCCTCCTTGGACATCCCCTGGGTAGCCAGTGTCTCTCCTTCGGGTGCTTTTGCTGGGGGGAGGGGGGCTGGCCTGCCTGGGAAGCCTGTCTCCCCTCAGGACCACGGGGCAGGGAGGAACCCCCTGGTTCCGCCAAGTGGACGCACAGCAAGTGTGTCTCTCAGGTGTTGGTGAGGTCAAAGGAGAGAGGCTCTTTCCCCAGCCCCTGCCCACTGGCCTCCACTCCCCCTGTGCAGGTGGTAACTGCAGAAACCCTGATGGACTTCAGTGACCTCTCTGAGAGTGAACAGGGCCCCTCCACCGGGGAGGTAAGCAAGGCCCCCATGTGCTTTCACAGCCGGCAGCCCTGCGGGATGGGAGGGCCACATGCCTGTTGCTTCCTGACCAGGGTTTCCGGCTGGAGGACGTGGACTGGAACAGCATTGCCCAGCGGTATCCCAACCTCTTCATCAACATCGAGTCCAGCTCAGACCAAAAGTAACTTTGCTGGTCAGGCAATCCTCCAGGGGTGCAGGGCAGGGGGGAGAGCGTGCCTTGGCATATGTGGGCCAGAGTCCAAGTTCTACCTTTAGTGTGTCTGGACAAGTAACTCACACCTTCGAAGGTCAGTTCTCTCATATGTAGGATGAGGTTCACAGTGAAGGAAAAGGGCTCCGGAGCCCTCATGGTCCTTCCAGGAGCCTTTTCCCTAGGTCGGGTCCCGGGGTGCCCCATCCATCTTGGGGAGGCTAGATGGGCACAAGGCTGGAGTCTAGAAGCCAAAGCCAGCAGCCACGAGCAGATCAGCACTGTGGCCCACAGGCATCCACGACCCCTGCCACCCCCGCAGTCCCCACCGTTGGACGAGTGGGGCTCGGAGCTGCGCAGACAGCGCATGGAACAGCGTCTCAAGAGTGTCGAGTGGAGTTCCCTGCCCTTCGTGGGCACTAGCAGCTCGGGGGGCGCGGACTCCGACTCCAGCAGTGGCCAGCCGGCTGAACATTATCGCATGCAGAAGGTGACAGGACACCCACCCGGCACGTCAGGCTGCCATTCTTCTGAGCTGACAGAGGCACGCTCGAGGAGCCTCAGGGAAATGCAGACACAGCCTGAAGGTGGGGTGGAGCGAGCCTCCCCAGTTACAACCCCCCCCCAACAGGGTTATGATCTCTGCCCAAAGCCCTAAACACCGTGTCCCCCAACAGCTTGGTCTTCACAACTGCCCAGAGCAAGGCCACCCCTAGGGATTAGGGTGGTCTTGGATGATAAGTGCTGCTGTCTCGGCACTCTGGCTCCAAGACCCCCCTGCCCCCCCAGGCCCATACTTGGAGTTACATCTCTGCTTCCCTCAGCCTCCAGGGTCCAGCCCTCCTGCTCTGGATCTGACCCCGGGAGCTGTTCCTCTCCCAAGTGCACCCTCAGGGTGCTGCAGGTTGGTCTGGCCTCCCATGAGATGTCCACAGTGGATGCTCCATATGGAGGTACCCCTTCCAACAGGTCCCCTTTCCCTGGATCTCCAGAAAGCCCACCGGGACCAGCCTGGCAAGACTGTCCTGATGAGGGAGTCCTGTGCAGATCCAGAGCACCCACATTCTGCATGCCATTGGAGGTGAGGGGGTGACCCGGTGGGTCACAGCAGGAGTGGGTCTCGGCCAGGGCGCATTGGAGGGGTGCCCACGCCTCTCTGCACAGTGCCCCTACTCTCCCTGCTCCTCACCCCAGCCCAACGGGTTCCTGCCTGAAGATCGTGGCTGTTAACGGCCGGGAGAGGTTTGTGCGCATCCTCAACCAGTCGCTGGAGGAGACTGCGGACCTGGGTGGCCTGAGGCTGCAGCAGCACCTGCATGACTTCCCCGTGTGCATGTACCGCTTCCCGCCGGGCACGCTGCTGGCGCCAGGGCACCATGTCACGGTGCGCCCCGCTCCCCGCGAGCCCCCGTGGCCCCGGCTCAGGCCCCCACCACTCCTCACCACCCCATGATGCCCACCAGGTTTGGGGCGAGGGGCCCCGCAGCACCAAGAAGCAGCTGCCCTCTTCCTTGGGCCAGGAGCCCGTGCACTTTCGCTCCAGCCGGGGATGTGTGACTCTCCTCCTGAACCCCAAGGGCAAGGTCAGTGTGCACCCCAGCCGGAGGTGGGGTGGGGGTTGAGCCCCACGGGACGGGGGTGACCGCTGTGCCCCTCCTGGCCGGCCCTGCAGGTCCTGAGCGAGCATAAGGCCCCCCACTGCGTGTCCCCCATCTCGAGGATCTTCGCTGACAACACCGATTTGTCCATAGACCGCTTCCCCCTCTCAGAGGCCGGGCGTGGGGCTGACACCTGCGAGCAGAAGCCTGGGCCTCAACACTCCCACGCCGGCAGGGTGCGGGAAGCCCGGGCCAGACGTCGGAGGCCCGGGTGGGCACCGCGGGTCCCTTGGTCCCAGGCCCCACCCTTGCAAAAACCGTCTCCCCAGACTCCCTGTTAAGGACCATTCCCCTACCTCAGGTCCAGCCCCCTCTGGGGCCGCTCCCCAAGCCGGTTCCTGACCAGGGCCACCACCCACCTCCCCAGGTCCTGTCCTCTCCAGGCTCGCCCCCTAGAAATTCAAGACCACTCCCAGGCCCCCCGCCTCCCCAGGCCCCTTCCTCTCCAGGACTGCCCTTCCCGCGGGCGGGCTCCGGATCTCACGACCCCCTCGCCCCACCAGGACACGGGTCCTCTTTCCCCGGCTGAGCACCAGCAAGATCTTCCGCCCACGGGAGGTACCAGCGCAGTCCGAGGCCGCAGAGACCCTCGCGCCGGAGCTCCTGCCCTCCATCCCCGGTGAGCACGCAGTGATGCGGAGGGAAGGAGGGCGGGCAACTCGCCAGGGAGGTGGGAGGCCCGCCTGACCGATCGCGTCATTGTTCCCCGCAGAGGCTGGGCTGTGCCTCGAGGACTGCCTAGCTAGGAAGGAGCACAGGGTCCGGGTGAGTGTGCGCGCGCGGTTTGTCCCGCGCCCCTTCGCGGCCCTGCCCCCTCCGTGCAGCCCTCCCCCGCCCCCCCCAGCCTCGCGCGCCTCTAAGGCTCCGCGCCCCTTCCCCTTCCCGGCCCTGCCCCCTCCGTGCAGCCCTCCCCCGCCCCCTCCCAGCCCAGCGCGCCTCTCAGGCTCCACGCCCCTTCCCCTTCCCGGCCCGCCCCCAGCCCCGCGCGCCTCTCAGGCTCCGCGCCCCTTCCCCTTCCCGGCCCTGCCCCCTCCGTGCAGCCCTCCCCCGCCCCCCCCCAGTCCCGCGCGCCTCTCAGGCTCCACGCCCCTTCCCCTTCCCGGCCCTGCCCCCTCCGTGCAGCCCTCCCCCGCCCCCTCCCAGCCCCGCGCGCCTCTCAGGCTCCGCGCCCCTTCCCCTTCCCGGCCCTGCCCCTCTGTGCAGCCCTCCCCCGCCCCCCCCCAGTCCCGCGTGCCTCTCAGGCTCCGCGCCCCTTCCCCTTCCCGGCCCGCCCCCAGCCCCGCGCGCCTCTCAGGCTCCGCGCCCCTTCCCCTTCCCGGCCCTGCCCCCTCCGTGCAGCCCTCCCCCGCCCCCCCCCAGTCCCGCGCGCCTCTCAGGCTCCACGCCCCTTCCCCTTCCCGGCCCTGCCCCCTCCGTGCAGCCCTCCCCCGCCCCCTCCCAGCCCAGCGCGCCTCTCAGGCTCCACGCCCCTTCCCCTTCCCGGCCCGCCCCCAGCCCCGCGCGCCTCTCAGGCTCCGCGCCCCTTCCCCTTCCCGGCCCTGCCCCCTCCGTGCAGCCCTCCCCCGCCCCCCCCCAGCCCCGCGCGCCTCTCAGGCTCCGCGCCCCTTCCCCTTCCCGGCCCTGCCCCTCTGTGCAGCCCTCCCCCGCCCCCCCCCAGTCCCGCGTGCCTCTCAGGCTCCGCGCCCCCAGGTATGCCGGAAGAGGGTGGACCGGAGCTGCCCGATGGTGGTGCTGTCGGTGCAGAGTGCGGCTGAGAGCAGATACGGCTTCCGCTTCCTCCCCTGCCCGCCGGTCACCACCGACTGGAAAGCGCGGTTGTAGGGGGTGGAGGGCAGCGTGGGGGTGGGCACCAGGGACCGTGGGGCCGCGCTGGAGGAGAGTCGTGGGAGGCAGGCAGTGCCGACTGCATAATTTATTGAACCAACATCGCCTACGAAGTAAACGGCATTTATGTACACGTGAGAGTCGAAAAGGATTCGCTTGGTCTGGGGATACCCTGCCCCAGGGGAAGGAAACTGGCTTCTCCATTCCTGCGTGGGCGAGGACCTGCACATATCCGCCGGGATGGGAGGCCTGGCTGCACCCTGGCATCTGGAGGGCCTGCCAGAGAGCTGATGGGGCTCTGCTCCAGCCACCTCGGCCTGGGCCCGGTAGAAGGAGTGGGCAGCTGGGCCAGTGCTGGGGTCCTGGGCTCTCTTAGCCTGGGATCTTTCTTGTGCCTACCGCTGGCGATCCCAGCCTCTGAATCTCCTCCACCAAGAAGAGTCTCTCCTATGTCAAGCCCATTACCCACCCCCCAATAAACCCCCCGAGATGCTCTGGGTTCCATGAAGCCAGAGTTCACATGGGGCTCCCATGACCACACTGGGGCTCCTTGGCCTGCAATCCAGGCCAGCTTTGGCAGTGGGTGGGGGGTTACACTAGGGGTGGGATTGGGCTGGGGTGATAGGGTTCAGGTGTGGCATGCACCTGAGGCGGGGGGGTCTGGCTGCTGGATCCGGTGCTGGCTTTGGGCCTGGACATCCTTGGGCTCTAGGGCTTGGGCCTGAGGTCACCTCCAGGGCTCTCAGATCCGTCACTGTAGCCAATCCCTGCCCTAGGCCAGGTCCCTGCCCTAAGCCAGGCCCTAAGCTACACAGGGCTCTGAGCCTCCGCCTCCGGAACTGCAGGCCTGTGGACCCCCAGTAACTGTTGCTAGAATCAGAAGGCATGGGTGTCTTGGGGGGAGAGGGGGTCAGGTTATAGCCCAAAGTCCTGGAAGGCTCTGGAGAACAAGGAAAAGACAGCTTGTCAGACAAGGGCCTCCATAGAGATCACTAGGTGTGTGTGTGGGGGGGGGGTCACCACAGGCGAGGTTGGCAGTGTCCACTGTGGCTCCTCCCCCAGCCCTTCACCCCCCCCCCCCAAGGCAGCATCCCTCTCTTCCATTTCCCGTGCTCCCCTGGGAAGCTGTGTCCCTGCAGCCCTGTGACTTCTGGTAGTTGCTGGGGATGCAGAGGCCACAAAACCTGGGCTCTGGCTTTGGGTCACTGGTTGGCATCCCCAAGGTGGCCCAGGCCAGGTCCTAAACCTCTGCTATAGAGTGAGCCAATGGCACTCCCCCAACCCTGCTCAGGGCAGACTGGGCGGTATGGCTATGGTCACCCCATGCTGACCTGGACCTGGCCTGGAATGGGAGGCTCCAGTACCCTTTTTTCCCTGAGTCCCCACTGCCTGTCATCACTCCTCCACCTGGCTGCCCTGCCTGTTCTCCCTCATCATCGCCCCCCAATAGTTGACAGCTCTTGACTAGCTAGTCTCAGGGCCCACCCTTTCTAGCCCCTCCTCCCCCCCCCCCCCCCCCCGGCACCTGCCAGCACATGGAAGGCAGAGGGTTTGTCTGTCGTGTCCCTGTTCCATCCTGGCCCTTTTGACTCCCCAACCCACAGGAAGGTTACTCGGCCAACCTTTAAGCCTGTGTACCTGCTGCCCCCTGCTTACAAGGCCCCGTCCCAGACTTGCCCACTCAGTTCTACCAGTCAATTCAGACCCTTCTAGGAAGCCTCCCTGGACCCTGCTGGCTGTGGGGTCTCTCTGCCTTGCAGTCCCTCCTGTGTTTGTTCCACTTGGCCGTGGTCACTCTGAAGCCAGTGTCCTGAGCCCAGCACAGGCCCTGTGTGCAGGGTAAGGGCAGCACCCTCCCTGCCATAGTCTGGCCCATCTGGTGGCCTCTCTCTCCATTCGCCTGTGCTCTGCTCTGTGCCCAGTGGGCCTGTCCTGGCCACTCATTGCCACCCTGCCCTCTCTTTCAGTCCAGACTCCCTGCTCACAACACCCTCTGTCCAGCTCCTGTGGCCTGATGATCCCATGGGCTCAGGGAGGAGGACTTGAGATTGGAACCCCTTAAGTGTAAGTGCCCCCCCCTCAGGAGAGGACCTCCCTGTTGCAGCCCCTCTCAGAGTCCAGCTGAGGAAGGGGGCCCAAGCTGATGAATGCTAGTCTGGGGCAGTGTGTGGGGTCACTCTCAATACCTGGGACCAGGCATAGGGGGCTGGAGGGAGTCTTGGGCCTAGACTTGTCCTCTTGCTCTTCAGGGCCCCTCCATGGGCCCCAGGGGGCTGTGGCACCTTCTTGCTGGGACTCCAGGGACCTACCAGGGAGGGGGCTAGAGTGGGGGGAGGGGGCTGCAGCCCTGCCCTTAGAGCCAATTCCAGATGAGTGTGCTCCTGGGATGATCCCCCAGCCTCAGGCTCCCATGGCCAGCCCTCCCGCCAACCTGGGTACCCAGGCAGTCCCCAGTCATGCCCTCCCGCCAGACAGGACATGCAGTGGTAGGTCTTGGTTGGGGTGAGGGGCACCCACCACAGGCACAACTCCCTGCAGGCCGGAAGCCTCGCCAAGGCCAGGGGGTCACTGCTGTCTGTAGAATCAGGCCCTGGAATAGAGGCAGCCAGCTCCTTCAGCCTGTGTGGGGGCAGCTGCTCCGGACCTGCCCAGGCCTAGGGAGAGAGAGGGCTGGTTTGGGGGCACAGCCTTCAAGGGGACTGGGTGGGGAGTGTCCTGAAGATAGAAGGAGAGGGGTGAGAGCTGGGGCCTCTGGCCAGCGATGGCTGTGGGGCAGGGTACTGTCAGGCCAGGACGCTGGTCCCCTGTCGTAGTCCTGGAGTCCTGACCCAGCTGGGGGTGGCAGGGCCTACCTGGCATTGGTGTCGACGCTCCCGCAGGCCTCTGGTGGGGTTCCCGCAGAGGACTCGGCTAGCCCCTAAAGAGGAGGATATGGCTGGGCCTGGTTTCGGGTTGAGGGGCTGCAGGGTCAGCTTTCTGCTGAGATGGGTTAGTTACCATGGGTGAGGTTGCTGGTGTCATCCTCTGGAGCTGGGTCCTTGGGAAGCAGGCTTTCAGGCAGAGGACCCCCAGTGACCAGTAGGGAGAGTGGCCATGGCCTGGGGGCCCATGGCTGGGTCTCGGGCAAGGAGAGCTCGGAGCTGAGTTTCTGAATGGGGGCTCCATGGGGATGATCTGCCCGAGGGTCAAGATCAGAGGTCACGGAAACCCACACCAGCCGGCCAGCCCAAGAGCCCCCCCTCCCCCAGAACTGTCCACAGACCAGGGACCCCTGCCACCCAACATTTGGGTGTCTGGAGGCCCATGCCCCAGCAGGTGCTGCTCACAGGGAGGTTATCCTGGCCTGGGGGCAGGTGTGCAGGGCTCTGGGAACAAAAGATTCAGGCCGAGAAGGGTTAGGAGATGTGGCTGTCCATCTCTGCGAGGCCTAGGGGTGTGCTCGGGGTACAGAGCTCTCTTCCTGGGGATGGTAGGGGTGGCAGCCTCTTCTGGGGCTCAGTCAGTAAGGTCTCCAGGCTGGGTGGGGCAGCCCTTGCTAAGAGGGCCGGTGAGTGGCTGCCATACCCAGCCCAGGGAGCAGGCCATCCAAGACACTGCCCTCCCTGATGGCCTCCTTCACCATGAGCCAGTCCTGGTCCAGCTTCCGGGAGGCCGGGGGGCCTGTGTGTGTGGCTGGTACCTCATCCAGGACCTGCAGCTGGGGGATGAGCTTCCTCACCTCTGCCCGATAGTTGTAGCCCCGCGGCACCTGCAGGGGGGAGGGTGTGGCAGGCCTGGGTCCAGTGGGCCCTTCAGGCCAGCTCTATCCTGTGGCTGCTTTCTCCAGACCCTCTGTGGGGCAAGGCAGGGGAGCTGAGGGTTGGTGATGCCGGCCCACCCTGCCAGGGCGGGCCTGGGTCACTCTGGGCCAGCAGGGACTTTGGGGACCCTGGGCTCTCACCTGTGTGTGATCTCACTCTCTGGGCTCACAGCCAGGGCCCAGTGGTGTCCTCTGGCCTGTGGGGCTGCCCTGAGCTCAGAGCTGCGGCCCAGCTGGGCAGCCCTGTACACCGATCCCACAGCACAGAGCCTAGCAGGGCAGGAGGCATGAGCCCCAGGTGTGCACGGGCCCACGATGTCTGAGTGCATTCCCACCTAGGGCACGGCCAGGCCTGCGGGGGACGGAGGGGGCTTCGGGCTGGGCCTGCACGCACGTGTGTGTGTGTGTGTGTGTGTGAGAGAGAGAGCGTGAGATTCCATGTGCAGACTGAACCGACTTCACGTGGGCGAATTATGGGTCGGGGGGCAGCGTGTGTGCACATGGCCCTGTGGAGCCCTGTGGGGTCTGGTCCAGGCCCAGAAGGTCTCCAGCAATACAAGAGAGTGAGCTCATGGTGAACAAGTCACAGGGTGCAGGTGGGCCGTGCTCTGGAGACGTGACCTGGGGATGCTCCCGTGCTCAGGTGGGCAGAGAGGCCCCTGGGACCGTGGGGGGGCACAGAGTGCCTCGCCCTCCTGTGCACGGTGGGTGCCCACCACACGCACCTTGTTGGAAGGGCTGGGCGCTGGCCGCAGGCACACCAGGTTGCCCTCCAGGGTGAGCGTGGCCAGCCTCGGGCACAGCTGCAGGAAGCGCACCTGCCCCAGGTCCTCCACGCTGTTGCCCTCCAGGTCTAGCACCTCCAGCTGCTGCAGCAGGCACAGCGGGCTCAGGTCTGAGACGTTGTTGAAGGAGACGTAGAGTTCCTGGGGCGGCAGGGGGCTCAGCCAGGGCTTGGCCCGGCACCCTCTCCCCAGCCCAGGGCACCACAGACCCACCTTCAGGGCCGGGAAGGAGCCAATGCCATCCAGGTCAGTCAGGCCGCAGCGAGCCAGCCACAGCACCTGCAAGTGGCCCAGGGAAGTGCCCAGGTCTCTGTAGAGGGCAGGGTTGGCTGGTCAGCACTGTTCCGGGCTGGAGGCCTTGTCTGTATCCATGAAGGCCCTGTGCCAGCCCTCCTGCCCTTCCACCACCCACATCCGGCTCTCTCCAGGCACAGGGGTGCCTGTGAACTGTGGCCCGTGTGTGGCAGCCTCCAGGCCGGGAGCCCCCTGCCTCCCTGCATTCCCTCCTTGCTGCAGCCTCCTGGTCTCCAGCACGGGCAGAATCCACCTTTTCCTTCCCCTGGAGGGCCCGAGGCTGGCGGGGGGTGGGTGGGGCTGGGGGGGTAGGCAGGAGTAGGGTGGTGGGGCCCATGCTGGACAGCTTGGCTGGGCCCCACCTACTGCCCGCTGCAATGGGGGCGGACAAGGTGGCCCCCTCCCCAGTGGGTTCAGCCCCAGGGCCTTCTCCCTTCCTCTCTCTCTTTGGCCTTTCTTGGGGATGGCTTCCCCACATTACAGCCCCTCCCCCAGCCAGCTCTGCCTGCAAGACCTCCTCCACCCCTGCCCAAGCCCTGGACGTGCCCCTCTCACCCTCTCTCTGCCTACCTCTCCCCTGCAGATGGGCAGGCCAGGGCTCTCTGGGCCCCGCCCCTGCCTTTGGGGTCCTCTTGTCCTCGGCGTCCCCTGACGGGGCATGGGCCCAGTGTTCAGACCCTTTCAGTTGGCTTCTGGGATGGTCTGGATGGTATTTCTTTTGCATTTTCCCTGTGTTCCCTGTTCTCACGTATAGAGCTCTGCCGCCGGCGTGTTGGTCCTCCGAGAATGACCCCTGTCTCTGGTCGTCTCTGTCCCCTTTACCTGTTGTTGCCTTTCATTCTGCATTCCGGGAGATTTCCTCATTCCGACCTTGCCCCTGACATTTTTATGTCGGCTGTCCTATGTCTAATTCTGAAGTGCTCTTCATTGCTGATCCTTTTTCATGGCATGTTGTTCTTGTCTCGAAGATACGGAGAAGCCACATCTGGTCTCTCACGACATTAGTTGAAGAAGTTTGGAAGTTTTACTCCCCTCCCGGCATTGTCTGGTCTCTCCCGGGACCCTTTGTTTTGACCTTTTCCTCTGTGCTGCAGGGACCTAGTATTTCTAATTATACTACTAATAGCTTCCCTGCCCCGCACGAGGTGATGGTGGGGGCCAGTGGCTGGGGGTGGGGCAGACCCGTGCGTGACTCCCACGCTTGCACCTGCGGCTGCCTGTGGGGTGGGCTGCTGGGTCTCCCTGTGTTCTCCGAGTGCACCCTGCATTTTTGTGCCGAGGACTTGGCCCCTGCCCCTCCCCCTGCTCAGATGCGCCTACGCTTGTCTCCTCCTGTCAGCCACATGACATAAGGATGACACCCTCAGGCCCCTCTTCCAGTGCTCACGCTCCCTGCCGGATGTCTGACCGCCCTTTCACCTGGCCAGAGCCCCCTAACCTTTCAGTTACAGAGACGCCCCGTGTCCCCAGCCTGTGGCCCGGAGTGGATTTTCCCATCATCTTGTAATTGGGCTGAAATGTGTGTCTAGTGACTTCTTCAAGAGGGGTTAGTCAAACTATTTTCCTTGGGCTCTAACTCATTCAGAAACGCTGGCTGGGCATGAAAGTCGTGGTTCATGCCTTCTTTCCACGGTTCCGTCTTCTGGCTTTGAGTGTCTGTGTGGGGAAGTCTGAGGAAAACTTCACTCCTTGTCTTCTTAAAGGAAGTTGCGGTCTCTTCCCTTGGCCGCCTCCAAGTCTCATCTCTGTGTCGGTAACTCTGTCAGGGTATGCCTGCCTTGCTGTTGGCGGGTCACGTTTGATGTTTTCTTTCAGGCTGTAGTTGAACGTCTTCTTTTACGTCTGAAGAGTTTTCTTTAATCTTTAAGCATTTGTTCTGTTCTATAGTTTCGGTTTGCTTCTGCCGTGATCGGTTATGCATGTGTCAGACTGTCCATCTGCCCCCTGCCTCACAGGCTTCTAGACTGCATTCATGCACAATGAACTGTGCTCATGGTACCATTCCTGTCTTCCCGTGCAATCTCTCGACGGGGTTTCCTGCAGTATTTCTTTCAAGTTTGTCTTCATTTCTGAGCTGGTATTATTGTTTCATTCCATCTGTGTTCAGAGTCTGTGCAGGGGAGACTGGGTGCTATGTGCCCAGCTGAAAATGGGGAGTTCTATTTTTATTGGGGAATAACTAGCAGGTTTTTTTTTTTTTTTTTTGCTTCATCTCAGATTAAATAGGAAAATTACCAACTGTTTAGAACTAATGACAACAAAGCATATAAAATTTGTGAACCCTGCCTAAAGGTGTACATAAAGAGAAATTTAGGGGCGCCTGGGTGGCTCAGTCGTTAAGTGTCTGCCTTCGGCTCAGGTCATGATCCCAGGGTCCTGGGATCGAGCCCCACATCAGGCTCCCTGCTCAGCGGGAAGCCTGCTTCTCCCTCTCCCACTCCCCCTGCTTGTGTTCCCTCTCTTGCTGTGTCTCTCTCTGTCAAATGAATAAAATCTTTAAAAAAAGAGAAATTTACATCCTTAAATACATTTATCCAAAAAAAAAAAAAAAAAACTGGAAGGATTACAACAATTAAGCTGAGTATTTAGCTTAAGGAGCCAGTAAAAGAACAATAGCAAATTGCAAAAAGAACAAGAAGAGAAGACATAATAAAGATTAGGATGAAAGCAGTAACAACCAGACAGATTGTAGAGAAGACCAGCAGAGCCCAGAGCCGATTCTTCAAAAAATTAATGGACAACCTCCAGCAAGACTGATGAAGGCTAAGAAGGAGACAATGCAAATAAATATACACCATCTTAAAAGAGGAATAGTTATAGCCAGAACAACAATTAAAAAAAATAGACTTCTCCTCTGACCCTCCCCCCTCTCATGTGCTCTCTCTCTCAGTCTCTCTCTCTCAAATAAATAAATAAAATCTTAAAAAAAAAAAAATAGAAGACCACTATAAACAAAGTACATGCCAACATTTTTGGAACTGTAGATAAAGCCGGCACCTAAAGAAATAGAAAACTGGATGCTGACACCCCCCACCCCACCCCCCGCCAACCCTGTAAGTCCTCAGATCTGTACTGGTTTTAGAAGTAAGTTCTAATTAGCCATCATGGAATAGACACTCTCGATCTTCCACAATTTCTCATACAGGAAGTTTCGAAATTAGAGCAGCTGAACAGAACAAGAGGAGGGAGAGGCAGCCTGGGAGTCAGGCCTTGACCCCAGAACCGGAGGAGCATAACGCCAGGGGGTTGAGGGGGGTCCCTCGTGAACACGGGCATGAAAATGCCCAGCAGATAGGATTTCAGTGTTACGGTGCTTGTAACTCAGCGCAATCGAGTAGAGTCCCGTGCACTGATCGCCCAGAGGTGAATTATCACTTTCTGACCATGCTGACAGGGCAGAGAGACCCAGACACACACCCACTCAGATAAAAGACAGACCAAGAGTGCCCACTGCCGTCTTGGTAATTCCGAAAACCAGCTCCAGAAGGTAAGAAAAAGAAGCATGAGGGCTGGAAGTGAAAGACAACCCTCATCATCAAAACGGAAACCCCAACGGAATTAAACTATTTGAATTAATTTGAGTTTGGCAGTATTGCTAAGGCGAAAATAAAGACACAATATTGCCAGATACAAGACCCATGTATAAAACTCAACCGTGTTTCACTGATTTAAAAAATGTGTTCTAGGGGCGCCTGGGAGGCTCAGTCGTTAGGCGTCTGCCTTCGGCTCGGGTCATGGTCCCGGGGTCCTGGGATCGAGCCCCACGTCGGGCTCCCTGCTTCTCCCTCTCCCACTCCCCCTGCTTGTGTTCCCTCTCTCGCTGTGTCTCTGTCAAATAAATAAACAAAATCTTTAAAAATAAAATTAAATTAAATTAAAAATGTGTTCTAAATCAACATAATGTTTCTCTACACTTGTAATAATCAACCAGAAAATAGAATAGGAACAGGACTTCCTTCATGATCATAAAAATACTACAAATGTGTGGGAATTACTTTTGTTCTGGTTTCAGGGGACTCTGGTTTCACAGGGGACCGGTGTCCTGCCCCGTTCCAAGTGGCAGTGGGGTAGCTTAGGAGGTGTGCCTGGTTAGCTCGTGCCAACCCCAACTCCGTCCTCTTCCCAGCGGGCGGTGTAGGTGAGTGTATACACTAGAGCTCTGCCCCGAGAACCGTAGGAAGAACGCCAAGAACCTGCTTGTTCTCAATAGTAGACACAGGAGGGCATGTCCCCTGTTACAGGATGAACCGAATGCATGTGTTAAAGTCCTAACCCCCAGCACCCCAGAATGTGACCCTAAATAGAGCTACAGTTGTTGCAGCTGTAATTAGTTAAGATGAGCTCCCACTGGAGTGGGGAGGGCACTATGCCATCTGGTGTCCTTACGCAAAGGGGACCTATGGACACGGAATGGACACAGGGAGAATGCCGCGTGAACGTGAAGGCAGACTGGGCTGATGAGTCTATAAGCCAGGGAACGCTGAAGATTGCCGGCAAAGTCCCGCAGGAGGAGAAGGGAATGAAGTGGGTTTTCGCTCACAGCCTCGGAAGGAGCCAGCGCTGTCCACCTTGATCCTGACTTCTGGCCTCCACAACTGGGAAAGAATACATTTCTGCCACTCAGGCCACCCTGCTCGTGGTGCTCTGCTCATCAGAAATCTAACACACTCCCTCAGTCCGCCTGCGAGGATGCCTGTGCCTACAGAAGCCGACGGGTACTGGGAGGGGACACGCATGAAGATGGAGGGCCACATGCTGTAGGGAGACTGGCTGAATGAACCTGACCCCAGGAGCCAACGCTGGGCTTCTTGTCGGTTCCATGGGAGACTGAGGTTCTTGTCTGTTCTGTTCACTGATGCATCCTCAGTGTTTAGAACCGGGTTTGGCCCAGATACGCATTGTTGGATACAGGTTTCTATGCCTTGCAGCTGAAATCTAACTGATAGCATTCTGATAACAAACTTTGTAGGCAAGTTTAAAGACTCTATTAAAAATATAAAAGAACACATGAATGGAGAGCGATCTCATATTCGTGAATGTAGATGACTTAGCAAATAATCCAAATTAGCACATGAATCTTTTTTAATTCCAAAAAAAGAACTCCAGAAAGATTCCTGTGTGTGAAACCCAACCAACAGTTCATAAACTTCAAATGCAAGAAGGTTCAGGAATAGCTAGGTCATTTTGGGAAAAGGAAGACTAAGACGAGGGTATCCGACACGAAGCAATGAACACAAAGCCGTACCAATACGAGGTGCAGGACCAGACCGACAGATGAGACGGAGAGCTCCCATTGTCTCATCCACATGTGGGCCCCCTAAGTGGCAGAGTGGTACCACCATCGGCAGGGAAATGGGATTGCTGGGTAGATGATGTTGGGGAAACAGACTCCCTACATGGCAGGAAATAAAGCTGGGTCCCAACCTCATGCCACGGTTGAAGGTGACCTCACAGGTAAGTTGGATGAAAGTAAAAGGTGAGACCATAAAAGTGAATAAGAGAAAAAGTAGAATATAGCCCCCTGACTTTGGGGGTGTGAACGAACTTCCTAAATAAGACCCCAATCACCAACCAGAATTGATGGGACAACTCAAAACGAAGGGTTTCTGTTCAAGTGAAGGCCGCCACAGCCGGGGTGAGCGGGAGCACCTTGCAAATCTAAACCACACTCAGCCTACGCAAGAACCAGAAAGCAAGAAAAAGAACCCACCTGAAGAATTGGTACAAGGCATACGAAGAAGCAAGACTCAACAGCATCAGCAGAGAAATGCTCGCGGTTAAGCTGTAGTGAACGGCTAGTGAGTGTGCTTCTTCGCACCACGAGTACTGACGATCGGCCGCTCTTGTGTGCCGCTGACTGGGGGCAGAAGCCTCCGAGGCCGGCAGCGCCCTCCTCCCGCGTCCGCGGCTCTCTGGAAGCAGCCCCACTGAGGGGACTGTTCTTCATGCCAGCCGGGGCCGAATTCTCGCTCAGCTTCCGATGGACGGACAGACGCTACGTTAAAATTACTTTCCAGTCCTTAAGATACTGCCTGAGATTTTATTTTATTTTATTTTCAAGTAATCACTGCGCCCAACATGGGGTTCGAACTCTGGACCCTGAGATCCAGAGTTGCGCCCTCTTCTGACTGGGCCAGCCCGGCGCCCCTCCTGCCTGAGATTTTAATGTCCTGAAAATGGCTGTTATCAGCTAAGTCGTAATAGGAGCTTACTGGACTGTCATGTTTCAGTAGTTCCCTTTTATGAACTTTTGTCCACCTTCAGCCCATGGACATTAGCAAACATCCCGTGGCCAAGTCTCAGGATCTGATAATAGAAAGAACCGCAAGACTCATTATGTTTCTCACTATTGTCGCCAAGGGACAGAACATGTTTTCTTGCAGTTTATGATCTAATCATTTTTCTTGGAATTGAATATTTTGTGTTGTCACAAATGGTGTGTCAGATTTCTTAGTTTTATAATACCTTCCACTTCTCTTTATAACCTTCATCCTTTATTTTACATGCTCTTCATGTACCTTATTCTTCATTGAGCTCGTTAGTACGCCTTAACAAGGAAGGAATAAACACGGCTTTTCGTCTTTGTTAAGCTCTCAGTCAGAACACTGCTTCACCACGCATGCGAGGCGTGTCTCCGAACACCGTTTCCAGACCCTCGTGTGCAGGTGCAGCAGGTGCCACGACGCCTGGCTCACTGCTTCTCTGCTCTGCATCTTGGCCCACGCACTGAGGGCCACGTGGTCTTCCAACTTTCTTTGCTTCCATTTCCAGATCGTCAAGTGTTCTATTAAATTCTTTTTGATGTTTCTTTTTAATTTTATTTATTTATTTGTCAGAGAGCGAGAGAGAGCGCGAGAGAGCGAGAGCACGAGCAGGGGGAGGGGCAGAGGCAGAGGGAGAAGCAGGCTCCCCGCTGAGCAGGGAGCCTGACGCACGATTTGATCCCAGGGCCCTGGGGTCATGACCTGAGCTGAAACCAAGAGTCAGACGCTTGACCGACTGAGCTGCCCAGGGGCCCCAAACCAGCAGTGTTTTCATGCCACCCATTTTGCTAGAACACCTAAAATGGTCTGATATTACTTGGGCTTTGTTCTTTCCAGCCGATGAGGTAAACAAAGGACATCGATCTGTGCTTAGTTTTGAATTTTGTCTTTTAAGTTGATTATTAAAGTGCTGTTGTGTTTTATGTGAGGCCGTGCTCATCTGCTCTTCTTGCTGGGCATGAGGGCTGATGGGCACCAGCATGACCCCCAGGCTCCCAGCCCCAGCGGTACCGGGACACCCCAAACCCTGAAGGCTTGGGTGCTGTTGGGGCACCCACTGGAGACTGCTTGCTGGCTGGGGAGCCTTCACTGAAGGTCGGGGCACCTTCCAGGCACCCCACAGCCAGCCACACGACCTGGTGTGACTGGCCTGACACTGAGCACAGGCTCCGGGTGGCATGGGTCGCCCTCAGCCGGGGCCTCCACCCAGCTGGGGTGGGTGACATGAGCTACATGTAGCAGTCAGGCTGGAAGGGTGGGCATTAGGGCCGGGACAGGGAGACAGCAGGACACCCAGGAGCCTCTCAGTGGGGAACCCCTTGCCCAAGAGGGGCACTCACCTCACAGAGCCCAGGCAGCTGCCGTTGAGCTTCAGCTGGCTGAGGTTGGGCAGGTGCACCCCTGCGGGCCACAGGAGGGAGAGGCGGGGGACAAAGCCTTACTCCCTCACTCACCTCTCTGCACCCTCGTCAGTGCCCCGTGGCTGCTCTGAGTCCTAGTGCAACCTCAGGGCCCTGTGCTCACGCCTGCGGCCTGCCTCCAAAGAAGCAGGCACGAGCAGGTGCACCTGAGCGGACCAAGCCACCCGGAAGGCCAAGAGGCCACGGGACTCAGGAGTCTGCTTGGAGGAGGGGAGCCTCATTGGCATGGGTGGGGCCACCACCGCTTGGGTCCTGCCGCTGAGCCATGTCCCAAGCCCAGCCACGGGAACCCCAGACCAGAACCTCCATCAGCTCGCAGCACTGGGTACCAGAGCACAGGAACCCCCTATCCGGTGTCCCTGTGCACCCCAAAGCCCCGGCAAAGTGATCTGAGTCAGACTCTTTTGAAGAAGGGCACTGACCCTGCAGGACAGTCCTGATCCCTTAAAAAGGGGTGCAGCATGGGCCTGTGGAGTACGGGGTGGGCCTGTGGGGCGCAGGGCAGGCCCGTGGGGTGCAGTGGCGCACAGACCAGAGCCTGGCTGGCAGCACTGGAGCGGATGGGCCCTCAGAAAGAAGTTGGAGCTTGCCAGTGGCGGGGTGTGGACAGGGAGGGGCTCTCACCAAAGTTCCCCAGGCTGTTCTCACGGGTGTTGACACACATCTCCAGCATGTTCACCAGTCGAAGGTCATCTACCTGGGCCAGGGCCCGCTGCGGAAATTGATGAAGAGTCAGCCCTGGGGACTGCACAGTGGTCACTCCCTCCCAGTGACGTCCCTGCCTTTGGCTATGAGGCTGTGACCGGTGGCAGACATTTCCCTGCCCCCTCTATGCTGACCTCAGCCGTGGATGGCTTGCCTGGTGGGGTATGAGGGCACAGAATGGGAACAGAGCTAGTAACTGTGCTTGGCTGGTGGGCCTATCTGCAGAATAGGGCCTGAGGGGTGCCAGTGTCTAACAAGACCCACGGAACAGGCCCCAACGTGACAGTGGATTTAGGACTGGGTTGAGGGCTGATGTGAGTGCTGCTGGGGCGGGAAGGACAGATGCCCATGTCCTGTGGCAATGAAATGTCTCCTGAGATTGTCTCCTGGGGCGGCCTGGATGGCAGAAAGCATGCATGAGGAACTTGTCATATTGAGCGGAGAGGTGCCAGCACAATGTGGGCGGAGTAAGCTTGGCTGCACTTGATAAGGTGCTGTGAGATACAGGGTTCAGAGGGTAGGGAGGGAGCCCAGGAGATTTGGAACCTGTGGGTCTGGAAAATAAAGTGGTCTCTCAATTCCAATCAGCCAAACAAAAAGCTGCGAAGGTCTGCAGGTAGGATGACCCAGTTAATCTGTCTCGGGGAGCAAGCCAGGTTGCTCCATGCACCTGCAGAGGCTCTGGGGCTCTCAGGGGAGGCCTCCGGGAGCTGGTGGCCCTGTTTACAGTGACTGAGTCTGCAGAGAGAACTGTGTCCAGACACCATCGCAGGCTCTCGGCACCCGGCATCGACTGGACTCCACCGTGTTGAACAGCACGTGTGATTGTGGACCTCTGATCACCAGCATGCCATGGCCTGGACTGGGGTTCATGGAGATCATCCGAAACGACAGTGTTTGGGGCCATGTTCTCCAGCCAGGAGCCAGGCGGAGAAGGAAGGAGGTCCCAGGATGGACAGAAGCCCCACAGGGACAGAGCAATCTCTAATCAAAGTGTGTTCCCAGCACAGGGCGCCCAAACATTTGTCCAGTGGGTGTCAGTGCCACCGGACTTCCTTCTTAAGGGGGGGGGAGGCCGGTGAGTTACCCTGCTGTTCCCACCCTGCTGGCTGGCTGTGGGGGCCACACTGCTCTTCATGCTTCCCTGGGTCCTTCTTCGGATGCACCCAACGCAAACACTTTCTCCCAGGACGCAGACTCACCTGATGTGTGGTTAGTGGGGACTCGGGGGCTGTGAAGGCTCTGAATGTGGAGGCAGGTGGGCCATTGCTCATAATTGTCACTCTTCCCCTGAATTAGAACTGTGTGTCCGTTCCCCGGCCAGTGACAACACAGACCCCAGAGCAGGTGGCCTTGTCCATGCTGGGCTTGGCCAAGGGGGCCCTCGAGTGTGCATGTGTGGTGCACCTGCTGCTTACCCCCAGGTGCTGACCACGAGCAGGGCAGCCCCATGTGGCCCCTTTAGCCTGGATCCCAGTGGGAACCCAGTGCAGACCCCAAGCCTGAGGACGGAAACCTGTCGTTGGAGCCAGAGCCTGGGTGGTCTGTGGTCAGCGTTATGTGGCCATAGATGACATATGGGACACAGAAACGCACCAGGCCAAGGTGTTGGGGAAGGAAGCCTGCCAAGGACTGCCACAGGGTGCATTCACCCAGGAGTAGTCTGAGTGGGCACTGCCCTGAGGATGACAAGGGGCATCCATGCGGACCTGAGGAGACAGATTCACAATACTGTTTGCACCCCAGCTGGCCTGATTTTGTAGGGATCCCAGGCTGTACAAAGCCTTCTGTGTGGCAGGGACATCTCCTGGGGGGGAGGGTGTCCCACTATCCATCTGAGGAAGACACAGTGACCATACATACTCCTGCAAAAACTCTCCCTGTTGGGCACCGTCTCCCACAGATGAACACAAAACGAAAAGGAAATGAAACAGAGATTCCGGTGAACACCAGGAATGTCTGCAGCTCCCGGCCTGGCTCCTGGTGTGCGGTACTGGGGGGGTGACAAGGCTAGGCCCACCTCCAGGTCCAGCCAGGGTGTGGTGGGGGTCCCTGCTCTACCTGCACCTTGCTCCTGGCACTCCCTGCCATGGCCAGGCTGGACCCTCCCTGTCCTGCTGTCCAGGGCGGGGAGCTCTGTCCCCAGCCAGCAGCTCTGTCCAGTAGAGGAGACTCCAGCTCCGTGCACAGGTCGGCCAGTGCCCAGAGTCTCTTCTCAGGGTCAGGCTGTTGTCAGTGCAGCCTGGCCTCCCTGTGGCCCCAGGAGGGCCGCCCCAAGCTCTGTGCACGCCGGCCCCTCCAACAAGCCCGCCTGCTGTGTCTGAACCCAGACTCATATGTGCGGAGGGACAGGACCCCAGAGCTGGCCGGTACAGAGGTGGCCTGCAGCTGTGGGCCTGTCTCTGTCCCCTGGGGCAGTGTGGGGGGCTGTTGAGGAGCTGGTGGGAGGGCCGTCCTGATGGGCTCCATGCTGGACCAAGACCTTGGGACGATAGGGGCCTGCAGGCATGGCTGGAGGGCCGCACACACAGAGGAGCCAGCTTGGAGTCTGGGGAGGGGGGCCTGGACCGAGTGTCCCTTCCCCCTTCACTGATCAGGCAGTGCGGATGCTTCTGTGAGTTAGTTGGTTAGGAAGACGGGCAGAGACCTCGGGTAGCCAGGCTCCCTTCTGCATGTTGGTGAGCATGTCATCCTCGGGTCTCCAAGGGACCCCTCTCCAGGCACCTCACCCTCTTACCCTGTGCAAGGGTGCTGTGGGCCTAAGGGCTGCCTGTACCCGGTGGGGCCTGCCCCCTTAGCATGGCCAACAGTGGGTGGGGTGTGGAGCTGCCCAGAGTGGGTGCTGGGTGAGAACCGGGAGTCAAGAGGGCTCTGCATATCTGGGTGGGCCGCTGGGTGGGAGTGGGGGGGGCGGCAGGTTTGGGAGAAAGCCTTCACCAGCTGCCCCAGATAACGGTCAGTGGGATCCTGGAATGGCCCCCACTTAACCAGCCCGCCCCGGATGGCAGGGCTCCCTCGTTTTGCCTGTGGCTTCGTTTATTCCTGGCGGTTTGCATCTCTGTGTGCCATGCACGCGCATGGTCTGCGGCCCTGCCTCCCACCAGAACAATGGCTGCTCGAACCAGGGGCTTCTCTGGTTCATGGAGCCGTTCATGGAGCCCAGCACACAATGCGTACTAGGTAAATACTTGTGGAACTCCTGCCTGGCTCATTCCTGAGTGCCTGGGGGATATCTGCATCACGAAGCATCTGCGGTTGGCCGTGAGGGTGGAGCAGGTGCTGGGGACACAGCAGGGCTGAGAGCGTCCATTGGCCAGGCAAGGCTAGGAGGGCTGAGGACTGAGTGCAGGCTGGACAGCGACCCTGCAGTGGTGCCCCATGCGGACCCCTGAGACCTGAGCCCCCAGCCCCCCAGCACTCACCAGTCGGGCAGGTGACCGGTACTCCTCTACCAGCTGCTCGCCACGGCTGTCCCTATGGCTGCCTGGGTCCTTGCTCTGTGGGCGGGGATTGTGCAGGCCTTGCCAGCTCAGCTCCCGCACTTGGACAGTGGCTGTGCTCGGCCAAGGCCCGTGGGCTCTGTCCCAGGCCTGGTCCATTCACATCCAACCTGCTGGGATAGGCAGAGGGCAAAGCTACTAAGCCTTTGCACTTCCTCTGATCTGCAGCCTGGCTGGGACCCTGCACAGCAAGCCTTTGGGGCTCATCCTGCCTGGCTCTGATGGGTCTCTCACTCACTTAGTCTCAGCCTGCCTGGGGGCTCATGATGGCCTCGCCATCACCCACTCAGCCTTAGCTCACACCCCACTGGGGTCTGGGTGGGTCACCTCCTTGTGTTTCTGCTCATCCCCCAAGGTCCACAACAAGGGTGCTGGTTCCAAGCTTCTCTATCTGAGGTCCTGCCTAGGCTCTGTGCCTGAGGGGGGCCAGTTGGCCCCTGGTCATCTTTGCTCCGTCAGCTGTGACCAGCAGCAAGCCATTGGCTCAGGCCCAGTGCTGTGCCTCCCCACCAATGATCTCCAAGCCTGGGGGCCCAGGACCAGGCTCTCAAGCATCCCCCCCACCCACTCCTATGCCCACTGAGCCCCCTCACCTGGAGGCAGCTGCTGCCTTTTCCCACCATGGGTCAAACATCCAGATAAGGGGGCAGCATGGGTCTTCAGGTGGCACCTGCAGGAGAGAGTTGGGGTGGCATCCTGGCCAGGTCCCTGTGCCAGGGGACTTGGGACAGGCCAGGCTGAGGTTATAGGGCCCATAAGTGAGCAGCTGTGGAGATGGTCGGGGCTGTCAGTATGGGCACTGGCCCTTAGGTCAGATAGGGGACCTGAACTGGCTGATAAGACAGTCAGATGGTGACTGACTCCATCCTCTTTCCAAAAGGGGTCCTGGGTCTGCCACTCTGGACTATCTCTCATGGGCTGGCCTCCTTGGCACCCTGTCCCTCCTGAGCCCCCTCACCCTCAGGCTCCAAGGGAGGTTGTCCAGGGTGTCCCTGGACACCTGCACGAGGCTCACTTGGCATTGCTCCTTTTTTTTTTTTTTTTTTAAGATTTTATTTATTCATTTGAGACACAGAGACACACAGAGAGAGAGAGAGAGAGCATGAGCAGGGGGTGAGGCAGAGGGAGAGGGAGAAACAGGCTTCCCGCTGAGCCAGGAGCCCGATGCGGGGCTCGATCCCAGGACCCTGGGATCAGGACTTGAGTCGAAGGCAGACGCTTAACGACTGAGCCACCCAGGCGCCCCTTAAAGCTGCAGATGCCTGGCCTGTCCCCTGACCCTGGAATCATCTCTAGGGTTAGAGCCAGAAGTCTGCCTGGAATGTTCTGGGCACTTCCCTCCAACGTGGGCTGAGCCTAGGTCTCAGGGTCCTAGGATGAAGCAGCAAAGCCAGTGGGAGACTCAGTGGTACCCCTAGATGTCCAATCTGGTCCTCCAGGGGCGCTGCCCACAACCCCTAGCCATGCTCCAAGGGGTTCCCAGTCACGGGATAGGAGGGACCCCAGGCCCTGCCCCTGCGGGGGAGAGGGAGGCAGGGACCCAGACTCGGATCTGGCAGTTTCCATAGTGGGGACTGAGGAGGGGGCCCAGAGAGCTGATGAGCCAGGCCAGGGGCTGGCATTAGCCTGGGCTGTGGGGACAGAGAGGCCCACAGGTTTCCAACTTGGGAGGTTTGTGGGGCTCCCAGAGTGGCAGGGCAGGGTGGGGCTGAGCCATGAACAGACAGTCCCAGTCCGGGCATGAACGCGAGGGGACAGTGCTAGGACCCGTCCTCGGCCTCAGTTTCCCGCCAGGAACGGGGGAGATAGAGCGAGGCCTGCGGCCCCAGGCCCAAAGGCGTGCTTGGCTCTCACCTGAGGGGTCGGTCTCGGTGCCACGGCCCTGGGCGCCCTCCGCTGCCGGGCGCTCACTCCGCCTCGGGGTCGTTCTTCCGGTGGCGGGGTTGCGGGGCCTGGGCACCATGGCAACGGGGCCGGGGCATCATTTGAATACTCAAATATTCATGAGGTCGCGGGAATCTCCGTGCCTCCGCGGTCGAGCCACGCCCCTTAGCAACGGTTGCTAGGGCAGGCCGGCGGGGGCGGGGCAGCTGCCAACCCGGTTTGGGATCTGGAGGGTAGGGCCCCACGCGCTGGGCGCCCTGTGGGCTGGGAGGGAACCAGGGGCGGAGGTGAGACGCCATCAAGCCGCGGGGGTGGGGGCGCCGGACAGTCCGGCCAGGTGTCCGCCCCTGAAAAGGCGGTGTCTGGTGGAGACCAGCGCCCACCTTTCCCAGCTGGGAGGGTTGTCCCTGAGGCCCTGGCCTTGAGGGATGTACCCCCGCCTCCAAGTGTGGCCGACGCCAAAACAAAAGGAAGCGCTGTGGCAAAGGACCCCCTGAAGACGAGGGAAACGCAGACCTGGACACCCGGAGGGGAGTTTGGAGTGTCCACACTCGCGAGGGATGCCACCACCCGCTTTCATTTATGCGCCTTTACTTCGCGTCTATGCGCTTCGGGCGCAAGCCCGGCTCTGTTCTAGCCACCGCGCCGTGCGCGGGACGGCCAACCCGACACAGCCACGGCACGTGGGGTCGGTGATGTGGTGGGGGCGGGGGCGGCCCCCGGAGGGGTCCGCCGAGGTCGCGGCCTGCAGGGGGTGAGCTCCAAGAGAGCAGCACCGAGCCGGCACGGGAGGGGATAGGGGACGGGAGCAAAGCAAGGTTGGGCTTTCTGTGTAATGCACCATTCTGTCTTTGTAAATAAGGGCGTGTTTACGCACTACTTCGAAATTTTAAAAAATGTTAAAACCATGTCTTTTTGAAGGTGCGTTTGTGCTGGGGATGGGGGGAGATTTCAGTACACCCCCTTGCGCAACTTTTGGGTGGGATTTGCTGGGTACCATTTGTTAAATTGGGCCACACGGTAAGCTTCTGCAGGGTTGGCACCACTGGGTTCTCCCGTTCCGGAGCCACCTGACGGGAAGAACGGTGCAGGGCAGTCAAACCTCCGGCCACTGGGGGTCCCAGAGGCTTCCGGCGCGGCCCGGGCCTGCTCTGGGCGCCTGACCCTCGTCCTGGGGGGCCTCTCCATTTTGCTCCAGGCTCCCCCCCGCCCAGCCCGGGGGGCGTCCGCGGTGCTGACCCTCCACCCTCCCTGAGGCTCGTCCCTGGACTGGCCCTTCCGCTCCGGGGTGGGCCCTCGGTGGGCTGCCCGTCGCGACGCGGGGAAGCCCTCCCGGGCAGGGCAGGGGCTTGAGCCGGACCGCAGCGACCCCGCCCCAGTCTACAACAGCCCGCGGTCCCGCTTTCCTAAGGGGCCTCTATTCCTCCGGAAGAGTTCGGAACCTTTCCGGAGAAGCCGTCGCCCCCGAACCCGCGACCCCCGCGCCCTCGCTGTCCTCCCGCCCGGCAGAGCCCAGCCCCCCTAGGCCGCGGCCCACGAGGGCCTCCAGGGCCGGCACCGCCCTCCGCGCCGTTTCCCGGAAGCCCCGCCCGGCCGCGGCCCTTGACGGGCGGGCGGGTCGGCCAACCGGAGCAGGGCGGGACGGGGCGGGACGGCTCCGGGGCGGGGCCCGGCGCCCGCGGCCAATGGCAAGCCGCGCCAGGCTGACGGACGGGCGCGGGGCGGGGCGTGCGCCCGTCTCCCGACCCCCCTCCCCTGAGTGTCCGCCGCCCGCGCCCCGCCGCCCGCAGCCGGAACCGCACCCTCCGCGGACCGAGCCCATGCGCTGGGCGAGCCACGCGCCCCGGCCCCGGCCCCTTTCCCCGCCCCCGCCCCGGCCCCGGCCTCGAGGGCAGTCGCGCCAGTGAGCGGTGAGTGCGGCGGGGGCGGGTGGGGGGCGGGCGGCGGCCCCAACCGGGGCTGCGGCTCGGGGCGTTGGAGGCGCGGCGACGGCGGCGGGGCACGCGGGGGCGCAGGTGAGCCGCGGGCGGGCGGGCAGGGCGCTGCGGCCGGGACTGCGGGCGGCGGCGGGGGCGCCGTGTCTCCGCGTCCCTGGCCCTGCCCTCCGTGGGGCCCCAGCAGTGCTCTTGGGCAGCGTGCGGGGGGCCCCCCGAACCGAGGTCCGCTGCGGCCCCCCTTTAGTCGCAAGGCGCGCTCCCAAGGGCTCGGGCCCCAGGCGGCCATCACGATACACAGCAGACGAGTCGGGGGTTAGGAAATCACTGTCCACTGGGGACAAGAGCAAGGGCACCCCCTCGTTAACCCTCACAAATTGGGACACCCCAGCTGGAGGCCTTGGCCCAGGCTTTGATTCTTTCTCACCTGTGCCCCCGCTCCGCACCTCCGTTGGGTCTGTTCCTCTCAGTCTGCTTACCAGGACCCCCCCCACCCCGCCCCACCCCGCCCCACCCCGCACCCGGCTGCCTTATCTGCCTCCTTTTCTCCAAAGCTCATATGGTAACAGGGTACCGCGGGGTTCCCCTTATTTTAACGTGTGCCGGTCTTTTCCTTGGAGAAGGGTGCAGGGGCTTCTTTCTCTGCCTGTCACGCTGAGCCTGGAACAGCGGCTGGCATGCAGTAGGCGCTCAGTAAATGCTTGTCCAAAGCAGCAACATGCTCGGTGGGGCCGGAGCCGGTTGTAGGATGGCACTGGCCTGCCTGGGCATGCTTCTGTGCGCTCCACTGTGGCAAGACCTGTTCTTGCAGGGAGGGGTCTGGTAACCTCAGCCTGCAGGGCCTCCAGTTCAGGCTTTCTGCCTACCCAGCAACTTCTAATTTGGGTGCGTGGTTGGGAGATGCTCTCAGCTGTCAGCTCTGCCTTTGGGGGGCCAGCTCCGTGCTCTCTCACAACCATAAGTGCAGCTGAAGGTGGGGGCCATCTCCCACCCCTGGGCTGGAGGTGCCACAGGTGGGCGGCTGGGCCACCATTCTGGCGGCTTCCCCCATTCCCTGGTTGTCTGGGGCCAAAGGGTGGGGCGTGCTCCACAGGCCTGCTCTGCGTGGCTGGGCCATGGCTGAGTGCAGCTCCCTCAGCAGGTGGGACAGGAGACCACCACAGTGCCCTGGGCTGCATCCCTTGAGGAGCGATGACAGAATATAAGCTTGTGGTGGTGGGCGCTGGAGGTGTGGGGAAGAGTGCCCTGACCATCCAGCTCATCCAGAACCACTTCGTGGATGAGTATGACCCCACCATCGAGGTGAGTGTTGCTGTTCCTGTCCCCAGCCCTGAATCCTGATGTGGGCTTGTCTTCTGTGTGCTCCATAGGAGGGCATCCTCTCCTTGTGGGACCTGGGGGCGGGGCAGGAAAGGTGCCCAGGAGGGGCTGGTGGTTGGATCGCCCCATCCTAGGAGAGGTGGGGGGGGCCCTGAAGCACTGTCCTCCTGCAGGACTCCTATCGGAAGCAAGTGGTTATCGATGGTGAGACGTGCCTGCTGGACATTTTGGACACGGCGGGTCAGGAGGAATATAGTGCCATGCGGGACCAGTACATGCGCACTGGAGAGGGCTTCCTGTGTGTGTTTGCCATCAACAACACCAAGTCTTTCGAGGACATCCACCAGTACAGGTGAGCTGCTGGCCGGCCCTCAGGGGCCTCCCTGTCCCTGTTTCTCCTTGTGTCTCTCTGTCCGGGGCCTGGATGCAGCTGTGCCTGCAGCTCAGCGACTGGCTGCCCCCTTCTTCCTTGCAGGGAGCAGATCAAGCGAGTGAAGGACTCCGATGACGTGCCCATGGTGCTGGTGGGGAACAAGTGTGACCTGGCTGCCCGCACCGTGGAGTCCCGGCAGGCGCAGGACCTTGCCCGCAGCTATGGCATCCCCTATATCGAGACGTCGGCCAAGACTCGCCAGGTGAGCCGGCTCCCCACCCCACAGCTAGCCAGGGACCCGCCCCGCCCCACCCCTGCCAGGGAGCAGTGCTCATTGCCCCCTCTCCCCCCACACAGGGCAGCCGCTCTGGCTCTGGCTCCAGCTCCGGGACCCTCTGGGACCCTCCGGGACCCCCGTGACCCAGCGGCCCCTAGCGCTGTAAGTGTCCCCGGACGGCAGGGCAGCGAGGGAGGCCAGGGCCCAGGGTCTGGGCTGACACAGCTCCAGGGAGAGGCGGAGGTCCCTGGAGAGAGCTGCCCTGAGCCAGGCCGGAGCGGTGACCCTGGGGCCCTGGCCCCTCGGCCCCCAGAGAGCCCCGTGGGCCCTTGTTGGCCCTGCCCCCTTCACGGGCTGGTGGGGACAAGGTTGCTAGGTCAGACAGGAGTGGGACACGGGGTGTTCAAGCTGGGAGCCAGACCAAGGCCCGCCCTGTGGGGGAGCTCCTGAGGAGCGAGCTGCCTGATGGGGGTAGCCCTGGGGCTGTGGGATGAGCAGGGCCCGGCTGCCCACGTGTGGGAGTCGGATGGGGAGAGGGAGGGGAAGGGCTGGGATTCTGCATGAGCTGGAGGCCGGGGTCCCTTGGTCCCCTTCCCCTGTCAGGCCCCCAGGCTGAGTCCCACTCTGAGCCGGCCCCTTCTTCCTAGGGCGTGGAGGACGCCTTCTACACGCTGGTGCGAGAGATCCGGCAGCACAAGGTGCGAAAGCTGAGCCCGCCCGATGAGGGTGGCCCAGGCTGCATGAGCTGCAAGTGCCTGCTCTCCTGACGTCCCTTCCAGGCCCCCCCTGACATCCCCGCAGGCCCTCTGTGCCCCAGCAGCGCAGGCAGGGGGCGTGGAGGTGCCAGATGCCGGGAGGAGGTGCCGACGGAGGAAGGAGGAGGGGAAGGAAGGAAGGAAGTGCCACCGGAGCCCGGCCAGCCCAGGCTCCCTGGACAGAGTGACTGCAGACCTCCCAGGACGCTTTGCACAGACTGTGGTGAACTGAGGCCACCGGCACCCTGGCTGTCACTCTCCTCCCAGCCCCGTCCTGGCCCTTTGGCCACAGGCTGAGTCGCAGTAAATTATTGGATGGTCTTGACCCTGGCGTCTGGCCGAGATTGGAAGGCACCTGGGACCCTCAGCTTTGTCTGCCCGGAGGCCCCTCTGCAGGGACCCCTGTAGGGGCTGGTGAGGCGGCCTGGGCCCAGCCACCCTGTGCTGTCTGGCTGGCTGTCTAGCGCCTCTTGCACGCAGCTCTGGGGCCGCAGGACCAGGCTGGCTTTGCGTTTTAACACAACACTTTATTGAACTTTCAGCAGCAAACGGGCTCAGAACCAAGGGTGCAAGCCTTCCTCTGGGGAGGGAGACCTGCTTCTTTAGGGGAGGGAGACCTGCTTCTTTAGGGGAAGGCTGAAATCACAGGGGGGCGTGGGCGCTCGTGTCCCCCACCTTGGAGCCTGTGCTGACTCCGGGGGGTGGCACATTTCTGAGTTTGGGGCCACCAAGAGGCGGGTGCTGAGGATGGCCGACCTGAGCTGGACCTCTGGGGCTCCCGGGCAGGGTCCCAGCACGTCTGCATGGCCTCGGCCTCTGCCCATTGCTGCCGGGTGACTCGGAGAGCCAGCCTCTGGCGGCACCTGCCTCCTGCTGTGGGGGAGGGGGAGGGGGGGCCCCACCGGCCTGCTCCTGCTGAGCCTTAGCTGGGGTGGCCGGTGGTTCCCAGCGCTGCCCTAGGTCGGAGACGTGGATCTGTGGGGCATGCCCAGGTCCCAGGGGGCCACACACACACAGCTCTGAGAGGGCTCGCCCAGGCTTGGGCCAGAACCCAGCACTGGCCAGGGCCACGGGGGGCTCCGTCCCATCCGTCTTCATTTTGTTCGTGGGGGGGGCTTGTGTCGTCTCTGCCCCCCCCAGGGCCTGGGGCCAGGCCAGTTGAGGTCCCCCCAGCTCAGGGACTTGTGCTCCTGGAGGGGTTGCCGCTGTCCAGGCAGGCCAGTGTGTTGAGGCAGGGCATGGTGCTGGCTGCCCAGAGCCCCAGGGCCCCCACGCTCAGCATCACGCTCTGCTCCAGAGGCCAGGGAGCATCTAGCAGCCCTGTGGATGCAGAGGTCGGACGGTCCCAGGCAGGTGCGGGGCCTCGGGGCTGTGGCTCAGCGCGGCCCTGGCTCTGTCTCGGCTGTGCTGGTCACCCCCGAGAAGGGCATGAGCTGCAGTGGCCACAGAGCAGGAAGGGTGTCCTGGGCCCTACAGCTTCCTCTTTCCTGGGCTGGGGGGACCCCGTCCCGAGAGTCCCAGGGGCATTCCGAGGCCTGGTCTGTGGTGTGCCCACTGGGGTGGCCCAGGCAGGGGCTGAACGGAAAGGGACCCAGTGCTGTGGCTTCGAGCCCACGTCGGGGGGGCCACTTGCCTGCACCCTCCTGGTGCACCGGGAGGTTGGGGAGGGAATTCCATTGCTGAGGGGACAGCTGGGCCAGCAAGGGGTCTTGGGCTGGGGGCAGCCGGGCCAGAACCTGGGCCCTTGGCCCTCCCGGCTGCAGGGGTGCAGCTGAGGGCTCCATGGACATTCCCTCCTGCAGCAGCTCCTCGGCCTTGAGGATGGCCTGGCCAGGAAGGGGTCCCGGCTGCTCATGCTGGGTGGCTGGGCCCGGGGAGGCTGGCCCGTCCACTCTGGGGAGCGTCTCAACACAAGAAGGGAGGCGGGGCTTGGGTGCCGGGGACACTTCCTCCAGGCCCAGGGGCTTCGTGGGGAACTCCTCAGGACCGGCTGCCAAGAGGCAGGCTGCGTCAGCGTCCCCAGCAGGCTGTTTGTCCCCAGCTGGCTGGGGCCCAGCGTGTGCTCGTGGCTCCCTGCATGTCCACCCTGGCCTGCTCCTGACAACAGCCCTCCAGGTGCTGGTGCCCAGCCGCTGCAGTGAGCGCCCGGACGCCCGGCCCTGGCCTGGGTTCCCCAAGGTTGGAGCAGAAGAGGAGAGGGACAGAGATGAGGAGGAAAGCCCCGGGGGCTCTGTCCCCTGTGTCCTGCCCCAGGAGGGTGAATCGGGAGGGGATGGGGCCCTGAGCCCACCTGGAGGGGGCAGGTCGCACTTATCCTTCAGAGCTGGCCATGGAAGATCAAAGGTGTCTGAGCAACACCTCATCCTCCAGGGCCCAGGGCTGGGCCAGGGTGTCCTGCAGAAACTCCTGAAGACCTTCCAGGGGCAGCTTCAGGAGGCGTTCTGGGCAATGGGTGTGAGTCAGACCCAGAGGGACCCTGCCCTGCCACCCCAGGGTGCCTCCCATGGACAGCTGTTGGGGTCCAGCTGTCCCAGGAGCGCCACGGGCTGCCCGTGGCAGGGGGAGGTCCCATGCAGGCTGCTCCTCTCCGGGGTGCCCCGCCCAGCCCCCTGCCGGCCTCCGTCCTCCACTGAGGCCTGCACCTCTCTCGGGTGGTGGGCCAGCCCCCCCTCCTCGGGCACACCTGGGCTCCCTCGGGCTCGCTCACTGCTGTGCATCTTGAGGATGGTATACGCCATGGCTCCCTGTCCAGGATGTAGGCATCCCAGAGCTTCAGAATGAGCAAGAAGGGGGTCTGTGGGGACAGCAGGTGTGGGAGGGGCAGTCTCGGTGGGGCCCACTGGCTGCATCGGATGAGGCCCCCCAGCCCCTCCTGTCGGGTCTCCAAACGACCCCGGGGGGTAAGGGCCTGGCAAGCACGACCCGCAAACCTGGGGGCCACAGATTCTGCCCCACCCTCGGGGGCCACAGGCCCTTAGAGGACTCCAGGCTGGCTGCGGAATGGGGCAAGGGCCTGTCCACTCCCCAGGCTGACCTGACTTTCCCAGGGGGAGCTGAGGTGGGCCTAGCCCGTCCCCCAGAACCACCTCAAGGGGGTCTCGGGTTCTCCAGGATGGGTCTGGGCTTCAAGCCTCAGCCTTCGGGCTTCCGGGTTGGGTCTGGCTGCCCTGGACAGTGAGGCTCAGCTGGGGCCTCCCCGGGGGCCAGGGGCAGGGAGCAGAACAGGGAGCAGGTCAGCTTGGGTGGCCTTACCTGGTCGATGAAACACTGGAGGAACCACTTGGCGGTGTAAATGCCAGTGCACATCTGTTCCTCGTCCTGACGGAAGTGTGGAAGGTGCTCAGGACCCACCCAGCGGCCCCAAACCCCTGGGCCAGGGCCCCATGGAGCCAGGTGGACACACTCGCCAAGGCCCCGCTCAGCCCTGAGGACGCCCCTGGGCCCAGCAGGAGAAGGAACAGGACGGGGCCACTTTGGCAGGGTTCTGCTCGCCCCCCACCCCAGCCCCAGGCCATGGGGACAGGGCCTCTGGGGAGCTTCTACTTGCCAAGTGCTTCTTTAGCTTCGGCAGCTCTTGTGCTTTAATAAGGCTGTGATGGGCCTGGAACCTTAGCAGTTTGGGGAGCCCTGGAATGAAGAAGCCTGAGAAGGCCCCAGGCCCCCTAACCATCAGGGCTTTCTCCTGCACCAGGTGTGGGGGGGTGAGTCCTGGCAGGGGTCTCCTCTCCCATGCCCTGACTGCAGAGTGTGCCCACAGCCCTCCCGAGCCCTGGCTGGCCCTGCTCTTCCCAGGCAGCAGGACTGCCGGCCAGGCCTGGGGGGCAGGGGCAGAGGACCCTCCTCCTCACAGAGACCCCGCTGGGTGGGGGCCCCGGGCTGAGGACCAGGCCCGGCTGACCCGGCAACCCTTTGCTGTGGCGGTGGCACAGGGGCAAGGGGGCCCCAGCCCCGAGGGGCAGGGAGTGCCGCCCACGGGGAGGGTGACGGGGGCGTGCAGGGCCATCTCCTGGGTTGGGATCCAGGCTGGGGCCATGGGAGCAGTAGATGTTGCCACCTGGGCTTCGTCTGGCCGTGGGCTGGAAGGGGGCCTGGGGGGCAGGCCGGCAGCCAGGCAGGAGGCTGCAGGACCCGCGGGAATGCGAGAATGGTCTGCAAATGGTGGGGCCAGTGGCCAGGCTACAGGACCCCGAAGGCCCCCCGGGGAGGCGGTGCCCTCTGCCGGCGGGGAGGCGGGCTGAGTGGGGGTCCTGGCCTGCCCCGCTGCTAGAGCTGCCCTGTGGGGGGCCTGTCCCGAGCTCCAGGTCCCATCCAGGCGCCCTGCCAGCCCCTACCGTGCATGACGTGCCTCTCCGTGGTCATCAGCTGAGCCAGCGCCCAGAATGCAACCTCCTCGCACAGCAACATCAGCAGGACCCCCACGATCTGGCTCATGCCCTGGCAGTAGCCCACCTCCTGCAAGAGCCAACCCTGATGGAACGTGGCCACCTCAACGTGGTGGAGGTCAGGGTAGGGGAACTTCCCTCCCTGCTCAGGTTCTGATTCCCAGTTCGGTCCCTTCAGGATCGAGACCCGAGTTTTAGGGCAACAGCGATGCACGCTAGAGTACCTGGCAGCCCCAGCGCTCGGACTCAGGGGCCGTCCCTCCCCCTGCAGTCAGGTCTGCACCCCAGCCCCGGCCTCAGTCCTAGAGTCGAGAGCCCCTCCCTCGTGCCCCTGGGACAATGGGAGCTGGAGTCCTGGCTACGTGTCCTGGTTGGTCAGCAATCCGCAGGACAAAGGGCACCCGCGGGGCAGCAGGCCTGGCAGCGGGGAGACTCATGGGGTTGTAGACTCACGGGGTTGTTGACAGAATACGCCAAGAGCACATGGAACAGGGCTTGCTGCCTAGGAAAGGGAGAGCAGGGTGGGTTGCTCCTGTCCGAGCGAGGCCGGCCAGGTGCGGAACGCAGCCCCACGGACCTGGGTCTTCAGGGCAGCTCGGGGGCTGACGTGTCTATGGGGTCAGGTCTCCACACAATGACCGGCAGCTAGCTCAGACATACCATGGGATGGAGTTTATTTTCATTCTGCTGTTTGCCGTTTGCCTCCATGAAAGTGCCCGCTGTGGGATGGGCAGCTCCTGGGTTTTCACTGAGCCCCCAGCTCCCCGCTCCAGCCCTGGGGCCACTGCCCCACCCTGAACAGCCCCTTGGTGGCCAGGCGCTCCCCCTGCACTGCTCCCCCAGCCCCTGAGGCTTCTCCTCCCCGTGGTCTGGCTTGTTCCTGGTGCTGTGAATGCAACCATAGGATCTGGCTTTCTTCCCCGAGCCAAACGAAGCCCAGGTGCTCCCATAGCATCCAGCGCGTCCATAGCGCGGTCCTGTGTGTCCCTGAAGCGTATTCCCTGTTTTGGAATCCCAGTGTCTGTTCACCTAAGAGCAGCTTGGGTGCTTCCAGATTGAGTCATTGTGCACAGAACCTTCACGCAGGTTTTACTTGGATAAAAGATTTCGAACCAGTTGGGTCAGTAACGGTGAGCACTTTGGGGCATATGGTGAGGCTCTGCTCAGCTCTCTAAGAAGCCGCCAGCCTGCCGTCCAGCGTGGCTGCATGACCCTGCACCCCAGCTCCCGCTGCCCCCTTGGGCGCCAGCGCTGGGTGCCCCCAGCCTTCCTGACCGGGGTGTGTGGCGGGCGCTGATGTCTCGCGGTGGTACGAAGGCTCAGCTCTGTCCCCAGACACACCCTCCTGGATGAATGCACATTGTGTGTGTGCGTGTGCGTGTGCGTCTTCTTGGCTCAAGTGTATGTTCAGGTCTTGTGTCCACTGTGCGTCGGGTCATGTGTTCCATCACAGAGCGGCTTGTCCTCGGTCGGCAAGGGCCCCGCATTAGATGTGCCATTCCAAGTATCTCTCCCGCTCTGTAGCTTTCCTCCCTGCTCTCTGAATGGTGTCTTTGCAGAGGGCAAGTTTGTGATTGAGATAAACCCCAGCTTGTCCACGATTCCTCTCCTGCCTATTCCTCCCAGCTGACCAGCCTCTTCCTCCGTGTCCACGGCCTGTCCCTTCTCTGGCGTTCTGGTTTTCCAATGCCCAGAATGCGTTACCACCACCCTGTAACGCGGGTAAGGGTTGAACCTGGAATCCCACATGGGAATGTAGCTGCGCCCGAGTGCACAGAAGGAACAGGCTGCTTTCGGCCGAAGTGGAGACTATTCACCGAGAGGCCCTTATAGAAACCTCACGATCCTGTGCCCAGGTGTGCCGCCGGGCAGGGCCCGCCCTCACATCAGGGCCCTTCTGTGTGAGGTCGCGGCGCAGTAGTCATAGGGGGATGGGGGTTTGGGGTGGTGCCTGGGGGCATCAGGCTGCGGAGGCTGGCTCGCCCCGGACCAGGCGTCACAGGTCAGCCGTGACCTGGCCACACTCTGAGGGCCAAGGCCGACGCAGCGGCCACCCAGGTTCCGGCGTACAAGGCACCCCCCTCGGTGGGGGAACGTCGGCGTCTCCTCATGAGACGGGTTGGGGATGGCCCCCTGGAAGGCTCAGTCCACGCCTGCCTGGCAGCTGCCAGCCTTCCCTTCCCGGCCTCCAGGTCAGCCTCCCCAGGGCCCCGGGCTGTGAAGCACAACCGCCAGCCGCCGGCCGCGCAGACAGAGCGCCTTCTCCCGCGGCGATCCGGCTGCACCCCACCTGTCTGGGCGCACACTGCCTTCCCCACCTCCCGCTGGGCCCCCGCATCGTCGGGGTCTCCCCCGCACCTGGCGACTCAACACCAAACCTGGGCTCCTGAGGAGGACAGACCGTCCAGAGACCCCGACGGGGGCCGGGGAGGCGCCAACACCGTCCGCACACTGAGGCGCTGCACTAATTCCTTGCAGGCTGGAGCCGGTGGGGGGGGGCAGCCTCCACCGGGAACCTCCGTTTCTAAGGCGCATACGGAGATGACTATAGACAGTGTCGGCCCGAGGTCTGGGCTTTGCTGGGACACACTTGCTGCTGGGGTCGCGGCTGGTGAGCACAGGACCTGGGCTGCACCGGGGGCGGCATTTGGGGGTTCATCATACCACTGATCTGTACAGTGTCAGCTGTCTACCATCAAATGCAAATACATGCAGGAAAACACCGAGTGGCTGTCCCTTTGACCCGTGTGACCCTCATCGGTCCATGTGTGTCCTCGTCCAGCCGAGGCTGTGCTGCCCGGCCCCCAGCCCCGCAGCGCCCCCACCCATGGCCTCCACCCTCTGTTGCCAGCTCCTCACTAGCAGCTCCACGCCAACCTTGGGGGTTCCGCTCACACAGGGACGCGGCGAGGCCCCGTCGTGGCGCCCTCCCCATCGACACAGACCCGGGGAGGGGGCCACTGGGTCATCCCAAGCACGTTTCCCATGCGGCCGGGTTGTGTTTGCTGCCAACGTCCCCCTCTCCTCAGAGAGCCCGCCCTGCCCACCCAGAAGCCCCCTGGGCCACCCCTGACCCCCAGAGTGTCCCCTGGGGCCCCCAGACCCTGCTTGTCCCGCAGCCTCACCTGACCCCATAGTGGTCCCGGACCATGACATGGTTCCGGAAGGTCCGGTTCACGTCCAGGTCAATTTGCCTGATGTCCTTGGAGAAGAGCTGGGCCTGCTCCTTCATTTTCTGTGGGCAGAACTGGGAAGGAGGAGCCAGCTTCAGGACATGGGAGCCTAACTGTCCCCAGCTGCCCTCCGAAGAGGGAGCGCCGCTAGCCGCCCCATGAGTGTGTCCTGCAGAAACCACCTTCCTCCTTTGTCTCTGAGGCTGGGGCCCCGCACACGGGCCCATCATGCCCGTGATGCCCGCGTCAGGCCTGGAGCTCAGCAGCCCTGGGAGGGGAGGGGACTCTCAATGGTCAGCCTGACGCTCCTCCCCTCCCCCCGCACAGGGGCCCGTCCTCCAGGACTGAGACCAGCCTGGGGCCTGAGCTCGCCTCTCCCCATGCGTTCCCCTAAGCTCCCGCCAAGGCCTCACCCAAGGGCCATGGCTCTGCCGGGTTTGGAAGGGCTTACCTCGTAGACCCCTTGGTTGGTGGACTTCACCTTCTCAATATCAAGCAGGAGGATCCACACCTGACCTCGCACCTGCGGAGGGACCCTTTTATACACCCGACGATGCATCTACAGGACAGAAGGCAACGCTGCTGAGCCAGGCCCGGGACGGCTCTGTGATCCCCAGGAGCACGAGGCCTCGAGAAGTTTCTGGTCTTAGTTCCATGGCGTCTCCAGAGAGGCTGGGTCTCCCACAAGGAGGAGGGGACAGTGGCCCTGACCTGCCGGCCCCTCTGGTGCCCTCCTTGGGCCTGGGGAGGCTTGGGCTCGGGCAGCAGACTCTCCCCAGGCAGGGGGACTCTCGTGGGGTCTGGGGTTGGGGGGAGGCTGAGGGCTGTACGCACCCCCCCCCCCCCGTTGGGACACAGTGCCGTCTGCGGGCACGCAGCGCCGCACCTTCTCGCTGACCAGTGGTGCTCCCAGTTCCTCAGCATCTTCACCCACTTGTCGGCTCTCCGGGTCTCCTGGTGAAGTTGCTGGAACAAGACAAGAGGGCAGCAGATGAGCCGCCCGCTGTGTAGACTGGCGCCCGGGCAGCGTCCAGGGGCCTTTATGTGAACAGACTCAGAGAGCCCGAGGGGTACAGGGCCGCTCCCGCTAACCGCGGCTCCGGGGCTCAGGCTTGGCCCCGGCAGCGCATCGGGTGCTGGGATGGGGGATTTGGTGAAACAGCCCTTGGGACTGCTTTGGGGACCGGGTCTGCTGTCCCCTGGCCCCATGCCCACCCAGCACGTCCTGCCCGAGCCCCAGGACAGGCTTGTACCTTTGCCTCGTGGGGGCTGGGGCCGGGCATCTCCTCCCTGGAAGGCAAGAGAAGCAGAGCCTGAGGACTGGGCCCCCGGCCCCACAGCCCCAAGGCTCAGGCCAGAAGCCCCAGGAGGGGTGGGCTGACCCCAGGGAGGGCAGGGGCTGCCCTCTCACAGCGGGGCAGCGTCCTGCCTGGGGCTGTGAGAAGGGTTGTTGCCGGCAGGTGGGCCGGGCGGGGGCATCTGAGCAGCCCCCATGAGGTGACTGCCCCCATCCTGGGATGGGCCAGCCCAAGACCTGTCAGGGCAGCCAGGTGCCCCCTGGGCCCGTCTGACTGAGGACCCCATGCCTTCACAGGGCCTGACTGCTCAGCGTCCAGCCTGCCTCTCCCTCACCTTGGCCATCACCCCTGCTGTCCCCTGACGCCACCCCTCTTGTCGGTCACTTCTGTCCTTCTGGCCCATGTCTACCCCTTGTCTCGTCAGAGCCCTGAGCATGGCCCACCCCTGACCCCTCCAGATGGCCAGGGAGGGACCCCTCCTGGGCGGGGAGGGAGTGAGGCCCCGGGAGCAACCCGGTGGCCACGCATGGATTCCCCAGCCATGGCGAGGTCTCGTGGCAACCATCGGCCCAGCGGCCTCCTTCCCTGGTCCCAAGGCCACTGTGCTGTCCCCCCTCCCTCGTTCCCACCCCTGGGCAGCATCTTCCTCCTCTTCCCTCCTCCTGCCCAGGCTGATCGGCCCCTCCCTCTGCCTCCCACCCTCCCTCCCTGACCTGGCCTTGTCCCGGGCATCTTCCTGCCGTCCTGCAGAAGCCTTCAGGAGCTGTGGCGGCCCTGGCCTGGTGGTGTCACCCAGGAGCACCCCTCCACCCTCGCCCCAGACCAGACTGCCCTCCTGCAGAAAGGACACCAGTGTCCCAGAGCCCCTCATTCTCTGGAGCCCCTGCTGAACTGACTGGACCCGCCGTCTGAATGCAGGAGGCAGACACCGGGCCTCCCCGAAGCAGGCGTGGAGGCCACTCCTCCAAGGCCCAGCTCCATTCCTGCCCGCTTCCTGGGTTTGCCTCCTGGGTCTCTCAGCTCCAGCCCAGGCCAGACTCTGGCCCTCAGAGGGCTCCAGGGGTCAAGGCCCTGAGCTGGGGAGATGGGTCCTGCCTCCAGAGAGGCGTTCCTGCAAATGCAATCCCCCCTTGAGATGGAGGAAAGAGGGTCCCGGTGACTCACTGCAGAAAGCCATGATGGTCCGTGAGCCTGCACAGCGAGAGCTCAGCATCTTCCCATGGGTCCCATGGAGACCCTGCTGGGCGTGCCTGAAACAGAGGGGGCCCATGGTGGGGGTCCTCTGAGAGCCAGGGGCATGGGGGAAAGGAGGGAGCAGAACGGCTCCTCTGTCCCCTGCAACCTCAGGGAGCCCAGAATCCGCTGAAAATGGCCCAGCAGGAGAGGCAGGACCTGTCTGCCCCACGGGAGCAGCCTGACAGCCCCACCTGCTTCTCCCAGCGATGATCCCCGCCACCCCCACCGGCTTGCCCTGCTCCTATGGGCAACAATACCCACCTGGGTCTCCTCTGCTGGACTCTGGCTCTGATCCCCGCCTGGGACATAACTGCTCTTGCTGCTGAGGATTCCCTTTGGGCCAGAGCCGCTCCTGCCTGCCGATGAGCCCCGCCTGGGCCTCCGGTGCACCTGCTGCCGATGAGCCCCACCTGGGTCTCATTGGCTACTGATGACTAGGATTCCCGCCTGGGCCTCATCGGCTACTGATGACTGGGATCCCCGATGGACCCTCGCCTGCTACTGATGCCTCCCTCCCCCAGGTCTCACTTGTTCCTGACGACTCTGGGCCTTGTCTGGGCTGGATGGGCCCATCCTTGGCTCTGGGCCCCACCTGGGCCTCCCTTGTGCCTGCGGTGGGTGCTCCTAGTGTCGATGGTCCCTCGCTGGGCCTCACCTGAGTGTAATTGGCTATGATGTTGGCCCGTTCCAAGGCCAGCAGGGTCTCTAGGTCCTCTTTCATGGTGCTGCAAACCAAAAACATCCAAATAGGACCCTGCATGAAAATCTCCAGAGAATAAAGGGGTCTGCTCCCTGGGGGCCGATCACCAGTCTGTCTGAGCCAAGAGTGGAGGAAACCCTCTAGCTCTGAGCGGGGACACTTGTTGAGCTGGCGGATCCCACGTGGGCTCCCACTCTGTGGCACTCCCACCCCCAGACTCCCTTCCCAGCCACTGTCCCCGGACACACTTCACGCCGAGATGACAGGGTCTCTGCACCCCGCTACCAGGAGCACACGGGGGGTCCGGAAGCTCCGGGAAACTGCTGACCTGATGCTTGGTGTGGGGTCCCCCAGCCCGGGGCCGGCAGCGCGCGGCTGGCTGGAACGGCCAGCCAGTGAGTGTTCCTGCGGGCTTGCGGGGCTCAGAGGTGTCTGTGAGATCCCCCAAACACAGGTGACAATAGGCAAAAAGCAGTGAGCTGGACATTATCCTCATGAACAACTTTGCCAGCAAGAGTGAGAACAAACTCCCTCCCTGGATGGCAGGATGGCGAATGGCTGAGGAGGGGTGTAGGGGAGAGCAGGAGGGGCTTCGTAGTCCCTGTTGGGGAGGGGCCTGGGGCTCCTGGCCCAGGAGGCCAGGACCCGGGCAGCAGGGGGGGCAGCCCTCCCCCCACGGAGCTGTGGAAGGGCTGCACGTGCCGGCTCACGGTCAGCGCCCGGGGGTCCGGTGTCCTCAGCCACTGCCCGGGAGGCCATGCCGCCCCTCCGGAGCCCGAGCCCCCACAGAGGCCCGAAGGGAGCGGGGAGCAGCGCACACTCACCTGTGACCTGTCGCTGTGGGAGCCGTACCTCCTGCCTACACGGGGGTCGTGGGGCGAGCGGGTCCGTGTGAGTGAGTATGAGCCAGAGCCAGAGAGCGCGAGCACATCCAACTGCCTGTGGACACAGAGCCGAGGGCGTGCCAGGCAGTGGCGGAACCCCGGGGTGCCACCGTTCCGTCCAGTGGGGTCCCATGTCGTCAGTGCACGTCGGCGGGGTCCGTCAGCACCGAGCCCTTCCCCTTGAAGGTCACGCTCCTGGGGAGGGTCCTGGCACCCCGCACAGTGGGAAGGGGAGGCTTGGCTCCCTCCCACCCTCCTTAGCTCCCATGCTCAGGTCCTCCCGGCACCCCGCCCTTCTAGGCAGACTGTGCGTCACAGATGTCCTCCCACCCCAAGGGTTCACAGCATGCGTTGTCCACGTCAGAACATTTGAGGGGCTCCTGGGTGGCTGAGTCAGTTCAATGTCCGAGTCTTGATTTCAGCTCAGGTCAGATCTCGGGTTCGTGGGAACAAGCCCTGTGACGGGCTTGGGCTTGGTGAGGAGTCTGCTTCAGATTCTCCCTCTGCCCCTCCCCCCTGCTCACACCTGCGAGTGTGCACACTCTCTCTCATAAATAAATCAATCTTTTAAGAAATTAACATTTAAGAACATTTGACAAATCTATCATCTCAGCAGAGGTGCCTTCATATTTGTAATGGCTGTATAAATGCCTTTCACGGATCCACCGTGATTTCTGTCAGAAACCTCTATTTAATATTTATTGTAGTCGACACACAATGTTGCATTAGTTTCAGGACTACAACTTAGTGGTTCAGCAATTTGTACATTACTCAGTGCTCCTCACGAGAAGTGTACTCACCATCTGTCCCCATTAAAAGTTATTACAATAGTATTGACTCCATTCACTATGCTGTACTTTTTAAGTTTCTCTTTTTTTAAAGATTTTATTTATTTGAGAGAGAGAGACATAGTGAGAGAGGGAACACAAGCAGGGGGAGTGGGAGAGGGAGAAGCAGGCTTCCTGCCGAGCAGGGAGCCCGATGTGGGGCTCGATCCCAGGACCCTGGGACCATGACCTGAGCCGAAGGTGGACGCTTAACCGACTGAGCACTCAGGTGCCCATGTACTTTTTAAATTTCTGTGACTTTATTTTATAACTGGAAGTTTATAGTTCTTAATATTCTTCATCTATTTTGCCCATCTCCCACCCACTTCCTCTCTGGCAAATCAACCAATGTGATCCATCACATTAACAAAGGACAAAAACCATATGATCATCTCAATAGTTACAGAAAAAGCATTTGACAAAATACAACATAAAAAGCATAGTGGGTTTTGAGGAAATGTACATCAACAGAATAAAGCCCATGTATGAAAGCCCACAGTTGATCTCATACTCAGTGATGAAGGCCTGAAACCGTTTCCCCTAAGACCACGAACAAAACAAGGAAGTCCCCTCTCAGTCCTGGAAGTCCGAGCTGCAGTAATCAGACAAGAAAAAGAAAAGACATCCACAGCAAAGGAAACAGTTGACAAAACCAAAAGACAACCAACACAATGGGAGAAGATATTAGCAAATGCCTTATCAGATAAAGGGCTAGTATCAAACATCTATAAAAATCGTATCAAACTCGGGGTGCCTGGGTGGCTCAGTCGTTAAGCGTCTGCCTTCGGCTCGGGTCATGATCCCGGGGTCCTGAGATCGAGCCCTGCATCGGGCTCCCTGCCTTCTCCCTCTCCCACTCCCCCTGCTTGCGTTCCCTCTCGCTGTGTCTCTCTCTGTCAAATAAATAAAATCTTAAAAAAAAAAAAATCAAACTTAACACCCAAACAACAAATACTCCAGTCAAGAAATGAGCAGAAGACATGAACAGACATTTCTCCAAAGAAGACATCCAAATGGCCAACAGACACAGGAAAAATGCTCAACATCACTCGGCATCAGGGAAATACAAATGAAAACCACAATGAGATACCACCTCACACTGGTCAGAATGGCTAATTAACCACTCAGGAAACAACAGATGTTGGTGAGGATGCGGAGAAAGGGGAACCTCCTACACTGTTGGTGGGAATGCAAGCTGGTGCAGCCACTCTGGAAAACAGTATGGAGGTTCCTCAAAAGGTTAAAAATAGAGCTACCACATGACCCAGGAATTACACTACTGGGTATTTACCCCAAAGATACAAATCTAGTGATCTGAAGGGGCACCTGCACCCCAATGTTTATAGCAGCAATATCCACAATAGCCAAACTATGGAAAGAGCCTAGATGTCCATTAACAGATGAAGGGATAAAGAAGATGCGGTATATATATACAATAGAACATTATGCAGCCATCGAAAAAATGAAATCTTGCCATTTGCAATGACGTGGATGGAATGAGAGGGTATTATGCTAAACGAAATAAGTCAATCAGAGAAAGACAATTATCATATGATCTCACTGATGTGAGGAATCTAAGAAACAAAACAGAGGATCATAGGGGAAGAGAGGGAAAAAATAAAACAAGATGAAATCAGAGAGGGAGACAAACCAAAAGAGATTCTTAATCTCAGGAAACAAACTGAGGGTTGCTGGAGTGGAGGGGGGTGGGAGGCATGGGGTGGCATGGGGTGGCTGGGTGATGGACATTGGGGAGGGTATGTGTTGTGGTGAGCGCTGTGTGTTGTGTAAGACTGATGAATCACATACATTATATGTTAATTAATTGCATTTAAATAAAAAATGTCTCAACAGAGATGCAGATAATGCCATTATCAGATAAGGATTTTAAAATAACTGTAGTTAATGTTCTTAATTAAGTACACTGTCAAAAGACAAGATTAACTAATTCGGTTAGGGGGAGACGTGGAATCAAAAACAAACAAATGGAAATTCCAAAAGTGAAAAATAGAATAACTAAACTTAAGGATTCAGTGGATGTGGTTGACAACAGATTCGATACAGATAAAGAGAGAATTGGTGAACTAGAAGGCTAGTCAAAAGAAATTACCTAGACTGAAACAGAAAGTCAAAAAGATATAAAGTCTAGTAAAGAGTATAAGAGACATGTGGGATAGAGTGGAAAGGTTGAGCATATATTTAATTGGATTCCTAAATGAAGATCAGAAAGAGAAGGGGGCGGGGTGTCTGGGTGGCTCAGTCAGTTAAGCTCCTGCCTTCTGCTCAGGTCATAATCCCAGGGTCCTGGGATCGAGCCCCGCATCGGGCTTTCTGCTCAGCAGGGAGTCTGCTTCTCCCTCTTCTTCTTCCCCTCCCCCTGTTCACACTCTCTTGCTTGCTCACTCTCTCTCAAATAAATAAATAAAATCTTAAAAAAAAAAAAAAAAGAAAGAGAAAGGGGCATCCAAAATATCTGAAGAAATAAGAGAGCTGAGAATATCCTCAAACTGATGAAAGATATCAAGCTACATATTCTAGAAGCACTATGAGCATCAAGAAGGATAAATACAAGGAAAAACACATTGAGGCACATATAGTAAAAGTGCTAACGGAAAATAAAGAGGAATTCTTTCAAGCACCCAGGAAGACATGCTGTCTTCAGAGCATGACAATAAGACTGACAGAAAGTATAAAAGCCAGAAGACAATGGAGTTGTCTTCATTTTCAGACTACTGACAGAAATAACTGTCAACCTATAATTCTTTTTTATTTTTCTTTTATTTTTTTAAAAGATTTTATTTTATTTGTTTGACAGAGAGAAGGTGAGAGAGGGAACACAAGCAGGGGGAGTGGGAGAGGGAGAAGCAGGCCTCCCGCCGAGCAGGGAGCCCAATGTGGGGCTCGATCCCAGGACCCTGGGATCATGACCTGAGCCAAAGGCAGATGCTTAACGACTGAGCCACCCAGGTGGCTCTTTTAAAAGATTTTATTTATTTATTTGACAGAGAGAGAGATAGCAAGAGCAGGAACACAAGCAGGGGGAGTGGGAGATGCCCAGTGACTGAGCCATCCAGGTGCCCCCCAACCTATAATTCTATACCCACTAAAGAATATCCTTCAAAAATAGAGGAACACAAAGAAATTTTCAGAAAAGCAAAAACTGGCAGTATTTATCACCAGTAAACTCATGCCAAATGAAACAGTAGAGGGGTTCCTCAGGCAGAAAAAAAAAAAAAGTAACCCCAGATGGAAGTAGGAAGATATCAGGATTGAAGAGCAACAAAATTCTAAATGAATACTGACTACATAAATTAATAATAATTTATAAATATTTACTTATTATCATTTATTATTAATTAATGATTATTATTCACAAAGGTCCTTGTACTGTCCAGGTGTGGCTAAAGTATAAACTTATATTAAGCTTTAATACGTCAAAGACACATGTATAATCTCTAGAGTAACTACTAAAATAATACTAAAAGAATGCAAAACTACCAAACCAGAGAAAATAATAAAATAAAAATCCAGAAGATGGCAAAAGGAAAAAAAAAAGAGAAAAACAGAAACAGAATAGGCAGAAAAAATAAAGAGCCCAAAATATATCAATGATTAAATTAAATGTAAACAGTCTAAATTTTCCAATGAAAAGAGAGATTGTCAGACTAGGGAAAAAAACCAATGTCAACTACATTCTACTTATAAGAGAACACCTTAAATAAAAGAATCTAGGAATGTTAAGAGTAAGGGAATGGAAAAAAGCGTACCATGTAAGCACTACCCCAAAGGAAGCTGGCATGGCTGGGTTATCAAAAACAGACTTCCCAACCAGCGTCCCGAGAGATGCACGTCAGCCATCCATCACAGCTGCTAACTCAGGGAGGGAATGGGCAAACTCGGGCGTGCTGCCGTGGCCTACTGCTCTGTCCAGGGGAATCCTGCAGGGCTGGACAAATCAAAGGCATAGCTCCTGGCCAGGTTTGCCAATATTGTTGAACAAACTTGGTAAACGCATTGCAAGAGAAGCCAAAAACTCAAGACACAAGGGCTTGGGAGGGAGGGAGAGATTTATTTTGGATGCCGGCAGCCAGGGGAGGTGGCAGGCTCAGGCCTGAACAGCCAACCTCTCTGGCGTCAAGATGGACCCTGAGAGTTTTACAGGAAGAAGTTCAGGGGGTACGTGCAAGAGAGCAGGCAGAGAGCACGTGATCCTGGTTTGGGGGGATTGGTACGTGTTCAGCGTGTGGTCCTGGCTTGGGGAGGGGACATATGGCGGGTGGTCTTCTAGGCATTCTGTTGCTCTTAGGGCTTTTCTGGCCTGGCAGGTGGAATGTTCCAGTCACTGTAGAACAGCTCATCAATGCTTCAAGCAAGTGCAATAAGAAATCAGAAAAATGGGTTTCAGTTAGTTAGAGTATGAGTTAAGTGCTTGCTGACATAAAGAGGAGCATCTCAAAAGATAAAGAGTCCATTTGCTGAGATGGTAAGATGAGGCTCATGACATAGTCTAGAAATAGAAAAGCACAAACCTAACATAACTGAAAGGAGAAACACAACTGTGGCTAGAGAGTCAATATTCCTCTCTTAAAATAGTTGACAAGACAAAAGAATCCACCAAAGATGTAGATTTTATATTTTTATTTATTTGAAGAGAGAGAGGCAGAGGGAGAGGGAGAAGCAGGCTCCCCGCTAAGCAGGGAGCCGGATGCAGGACTCAATCCCGGGACCCTGGGATCATAACCTGAGCCGAAAGAAGACGATTAACCAGCTGAGCCACCCAGGTGCCCCAAAGATGTAGATTTTAACCAAAGATTCACAAACCTGACATGACTGACATTTGTATTACAAAAACCATCATGGAAAGAAATAGAAAAATCTGAATGGTTCTAGAACTACTACGGAAATAGAATCCATGACGTCAAAACTTCTTCAGAGGGCGCCTGGGTGGCCTGTGGAAGTAGAGATAAGAAGAGGGTTGGTTTTTTTTTGTTTTTTTTTAAAGATTTTTATTTATTTATTTGAGAGAGAAAGAATGAGACAGAGAGAGCATGAGAGGGAGGAGGGTCAGAGGGAGAAGCAGACTCCCCGCCGAGCGGGGAGCCCGATGCGGGACTCGATCCCGGGACTCCAGGATCATGACCTGAGCCGAAGGCAGTCGCGTAACCAACTGAGCCACCCAGGCGCCCAAGAAGAGGGTTTTTTAAACCCCTCTGCCTTTGCACGTGCTTTCCTCCATACCATGTGAGCTCAAGTATCTCCTGCACAAAGTGGCTCCCCTGGCCTCACCAAGGTAGCTGACCAAGGCCTCTGGTGCCCACTACTGCAAGGCTGTGCGCAGCTGTCCTCACCAGCTCCTGTGGGCAGGCTGGTGTGTCTGACCAGGGGTCCTATAGGAATGTCTAATCTTTGCAATGTTCACATGCAGGAGGGGAAAGAATGTCATCCCTGCGCTGAGACCACCGTGCCAGCACAGGTCACAGGACTCCCAAAGCACACGCTGTTCCCTTGACTGGCTGCTTCCTCACTGTATGACTGAAACCAGCAACTTAAAGCCAAACCCTTCTCACTTGTGCCAAGGACCCTGAGCCTGAAAAGGGTATGCAAAAGTTCCCCTATACCTGCCCCCGTGTGAACTTCCTCCTGCCAAATGACAGAACTTAGCCCATAAATTAGAGGGCACTCTACATTCCAAACCTTAGGACAAAACCCATCTGGTCATCTCTGGTGTAAGTTACAAACTATCACTTACATAACCACTCACACAAACTCAGAGCAGCCACCGATCAAGCTAATCCTCAAACACTTGCTACTCCATCCTAAATGGGTTCTATTTCACCTGAGGGGTTGTTGGGGAAAATCCAATGTGCTCTCTATATTCACTATGAGCATTTTCTGTATGCGCCTTACATTTCAATAAACAAGATTATTTTTTAAAGGAATATATTTACAGAAGCAGAATAGGAACAGGGACTCCACCCAAAGATACACCTGGGCAGCATCTCACAAACATATACTGGGGTTTCTCTCCTTGGCCCCCCCGTTCCTGTTTCCTGAGACCCTCTATGTTGGGATGCTGCAACAGGCATTGAGGAAAAGGCAAAACGAATCCAAAGGCTATTTCAGAAAACATGTAGTTTGGTGGGGACTGAAGCCTATGGGGCAGGTGGGAAGGGGCTGGATCGAGAAGACAGAATGAACACTGGAAATGAGCAAGAGTGGTCCCCTCTGGGAGGGGACAATGTGAAACTGGGTGGGGGGAGTACTTCTATATACCAAAAATCCCAAATCCCACATCAGCTGAACTAAGTTTAAAAATAAAGATAAAGATGGGGCGCCTGGGTGGCTCAGTCGTTAAGCGTCTGCCTTCGGCTCAGGTCATGATCCCAGGGTCCTGGGATCAAGCCCCACATCCGGCTCCCTGCTCAGCGGGGAGCCTGCTTCTCCCTCTGTCTGCAGCTCCCCCTGCTTATGCTCTCTGTCTCCTTCTCTCTCTGACAAATAATTAAATAAAATCTTAAAAAAAAAATGACATAACTGGGAGAATCAGGCGAGCTCCAAAATAAAGACATAAGTTCCTGTGAATCCCACGCAGCCTGCCTTGTGGCCCACGTACTGTCTGGGAGAGGGTTCAGCCACATGTATGGTGGTAACCTTCATGCTCGGCTTCATAGGGTGTCTCAAAGTCGACAAGCACCTTCCCTCATGTTCCTCACGGATTCTCACAGCAGACAAGTCCTCACATCCCTATGGGATGTCACAAAGGGGACCAAACAGCCTCAGGGCGAAGCGTTTGTTTTAAATAGTTCTCTTTATCAAGAATTTCGGGAAACAAATCTAATAGGTTATGGCACAGAAAAGAATAAAATGAAAGTAGACCACTTTAGCAGCTTTCCAAAAAATGTAACTCTTTTGGTAGGCAAGGAAGCCAGTCCCAGAGTCAGCCCAGTGGAGCCCTTCTGGTGTCCTGTGATGAATTCTAAACCTCACACTCAGATTCCAACTCAAAGTGCCTTGTTTTTGCAGCATACACTTGCATAAACAATATTTGGAGCTCAGGTGAGCATTTACCTGCATTGTGTCAGAGAATCCTCAGTGCCCAGGGGGAGGGATTGGGTGGTGCTAGTGTCCAGATGAAAATGACCAAGCTGGTCATCACAGGGAAAGGTCACCCCAGGTCAGCTGGTTCCAGGCCCTGTGCTCAACCATCTCCTTTAAAGACCACCAGAAGAGCAGTTTAATACAATCTAACGATCAGCTCTGGCATGTAGTTCCCTTACTTGCAAAGCCCACAACTTACTTGTTGATAAGCACCCAAAATATAAGTCATAATGTTTATGTACCAAAGTTCATAATGTTTATTTGTGTAAGAACATTTCCAATCGGTGCTCAGACATTTACTCACTTTAGGCACAATTCCAACAGCCTTTGATAGTATTTCCCATTAAACACAAAGAAATGAGGGGTGCCTGGGTGGCTCAGTCGGTTAGGCGGCTGCCTTCAGCTCAGGTCATGATCCCAGAGTCCTGGGATCGAGCCCTGCGTCGGGCTCCCTGCTCAGTGGAGAGCCTGCTTCTCTGGTTACTTGTGTTCTCTCTCTCTCTGTCAAATAAATAAATAAAATCTTAAAAAAAAAATAAACACAAAGAAATGAACTAAAACAGGGACAGCAAGACTGGGCGCATCAGGCAGCAGGCACACTTTAAGATGCCACAAAAGCATCACTGTATTTCAGCAGAAACAGTTGATGGTGGTTTCTTCTCCCTCCTCTGAACAACCAGCTGTGTGATACCCGGAGGGTACCCGTGACCTCTGCGTTGCCCCACCTGTGGCTCCAGGCTGCAAGCTCGGCCTGGCTTGCCCCTTCTTCCTCCCAGGCACCTGCAGTGGTGCTGGCCCACAGAAGGTCTCCCAAAGTGTGTGCAAATTAATTTTAGAAAAGTTAATCACAGTCAATGATTCACGGCAAGTGAACAGTATAATTAAACAGTTTCTATTAAAGTTGTTAAAATAAAACTTCAGCACTTGAAGAAGTAAGTTCTCAGGAAAAGCCATTTCTTTTCTTTTCTTTTTTTAAGATTTTATTTATTTATTTGAGACAGAGGGCGCACGAGAGGGGGGAGGGTCAGAGGGAGAAGCAGACCCCCCGCCGAGCAGGGAGCCCGATGCGGGACTCGATCCAGGGACTCCGGGATCATGACCTAAGCCGAAGGCAGTCGCCCTACCGACTGAGCCACCCAGGCGCCCGGAAAAGCCATTTCTTTCTGAAGCACCCCCCCACCCCTTTTGCTGCAGCAGGAACTGGCGCTCCTGGAGGACAGGTACCTTGCTCCTTACTGCTCCTCCCGGACCCTTCTTCCCCTCCTCAGGACCCAGCTTTCCATTTCCCATCCTCGCTGAGCACCACTCGTTCCCTCGGGGGACACGGGCCACGCCCCTCAGCTCCTGGTCCCTCCTCCCAGGCCCGGCCTCCCCCTCCCAGGCTTCCCCCCACCAGGATTTCTGCCTGCTCGGCTCAGTGTGGAATCCTCAGCACCTACAACACAGCGGGCACAGAGGCGTTACACAAGAAATATTTATTGAGTGAATGCATTGAGACAGAATTATTAAGTTTCTGACAATGATAGATAAAGGAACCATTGTCCATTGATTACGAACGTTGCCTTAATGAATAGCGCTTTCATCTTTGTGTCTATCTACCTATGCCTCCTGCCAGCTCTACCAAGTAGTCGGTGCTCCGCAGAGTCCCGCTGTGCAGCATGTCCAGCCCCAGACTTTGCCCCAAGTCGCCGAACCGAGCCCCCAGCCCCGTCACGTTAATGCTACCGCCTGGGCCGGACGTCCCAGGCACACCTGCCAGGCGGGACACCGGGAGGGCCGCACCGGGACCACCGCTCCGCCCCATGCGAGGCCCCGCTCCCGAAGCGAGGCTCCGCCCCGACGCAAGGCCCCGCCCACAACACTCAGGCCCCGCCCCGCAGAGCCTGCGTCCGCCCACGAGAGGCCCCGCCCCCGACGCCCAGGCCCCGCCCCACCGCCCGTCCCGACGCGGCAGCAAGACCGCACCCCGCCAGGCCCCGCCACTGTCGGGCGTGGACCCTCCCTCTCCCAGTCCGTGGTCTGGAGGTCAGTGACTCCTGCGGTCCGTGCCTGGGGTCCGCTCTTACCGGCGCCCGCCTGTGGACGCGCGCCGGGCGCTCCTGCGGCCATGCTGCCCGGGATAAACGCGCGCTCTTGAAGCGACACTGGAGAGCGGGATGCAGGCGCAGGGGTAGCGGGGTACGGCGGGAGGAGGAGTGGGGGGGGAAGCGCGTCGGGGCTGGAAGTCGGCGCGTGCCGGTGACGTCAGGGCGTCCAACTGCGCCCTCGCGCGTGCGCACCTGCCGCCGGCCTGCTTCCCGGGGCATGCTGGGAGTCCCTGCGCTGGGGGTACTGGGTGCGCGCCTGCGTGGTCTGCGTCTTGGTGGTTCTCCCCATACGTCCTGGAGGTTCGGTCTGATCCCTTGGTCTTTTGGCGCCCAGCAAGTACACGAGTAAGGGCTGGCTAAGCCGACATTTTACCCCAAGTTGAGTAACCCTCGACCGCTGTTCCCCAAAGAACAGCCCCCCCCACCCCGGGAGGACAGCCCTGGCAGAGAGGACTTTCCCGGGTCACCGCACAGGATGCTGGGCCTTGGGCATAGCCGTCTCCGCTCCCGGCAGCTCTGCCCGAGTCTGGGCACCCGAGAACCCTGGGGAGAGCTGGATGGACAAATCACGTGGGGACGACAAAAACGTAAATGGGACAGCACCTCGGGGGGAATTGGCTGAAATTTAAAAGGGGAGCCCAGGCACTTTGCATTATTGGGCTGGCATAACTGGCTCGCAGGTATGGGGACACGGGAGTGTGGACAAAGCTGGTGGACTTTGCAGCGTTTCCGGTCGGCAGGTGGGCAGTGTCTTGGAAGGACCTCAGAACCAGGCAAGCCCCCCTCTTGGGTGGTGTACCAGGAAGATAACCACGTGGGAGAATATGCTGTAAAGCCAGAAAAATCTGAAAGCAGTCTAAATGTCAATCTATAGAAATTGGTTGCGTAAACTGGCTATGTTCAGACAGTTTCATGATGTGGCCATTAAAAATTAGACTGTGTGGGGCGCCTGGGTGGCTCAGTGGGTTAAGCGTCTGACTCTTGGTTTCAGCTCAGGGTCCTGGGATGGAGTACTGCATCGGGCTCCCTGCTCAGCGGGGAGTCTGCTTGTCCCTCTCCCTCTGCCTGCTGCTCCGCCTGCTTGTGTGCTCGCTCTCTGTCAAATAAATAAAATCTTTTTTATCTTTTTTTTTAAGGATTTTATTTATTTATTTGAGAGAGAGTGAGAGAGAGAGAGAGCACAAGAGGGGGGAGCGGGAGAGGGAGAAGCAGACTCCCTGCCGAGCAGGTAGCCCGATGCGGGACTCGATCCCGGGACTCCAGGATCATGACCTGAGCCGAAGGCAGTCGCTTAACCGACTGAGCCACCCAGGCGCCCAAATAAATAAAATCTTTAAAAACACATAAATGTTTTACAAAGTTAGACTGTTACATATTGATTAGTGTACTTGTATATTCATTATACATTGTATACATAACTATTCTGAGGTGAAACATACAGCAGCTCATAATGCATTAGTTTCCTGCTGCTGTTGTAACACGCTGTCACAGATTTCTTATTTTACAGTTCTCTTGAGATCAGAAGTGGGAAATGGGCATTAGGGAGTTAAAGTATCCATAGGCCTGGTTCCTTCCAGAGTTTCCAGGGGAGAATCTGCTTCTTAGCCTTTTCCAGCTTGTGGAGACTTCCTTCCTCCATCTTCAAAGCCCAGACACTCCAACCTCTGCTTCCATTGTCCCATCTCTGATTTTGACCCTTTTGCCTCCCTTCTGTAAGGACTCTCATGACTACTTTGGGCCTACCCAAGTAATTCAAGACCATCTCCCCATCTCAAAACCTTTAACTTAGTCACATCTGCAAAGACCCCTTTGCCATGTAAGGTAGGGATTCAGACATAATCATCTTTGATCATTATTCTGCCTACCATTCCTAATATTTCTTATTTTTTAAAAAAATGTGTATTGTGCGTACAGAGGAGTAGGAGCACATATACAGATGTCAGAGCTTTGTGTCTGGAAGGTGGGCACGCTAGGGCTTTCCATTTTATTTCTATCTTTTTTTTTGTTTGTTTGTTTATTTATTTGACAGAGAGCGAGAGGGAACACAGCAGGGGGAGTGGGAGAGGGAGAAGCAGGCTTCCCGCTGAGCAGGGAGCCCAGTGCGGGCCTGGATCCCAGGACCCCAGGATCATGGCCTGAGCCGAAGGCAGACGCTTAAAGACTGAGTCACCTAGGTGCCCCTCGTCTGGTTTTTCTATAAAGAGCACATACTGCTCATGTGGTAAAAATCATGTTTTACAGCAAAGGAAGCCATCAACAAAATGAGAGGGCAACCTATGGAATGGGAGAAGATACTTGCAAATGACACACCTAATAAGGGGTTAATATCTGAAATATATAAGGAACTCATACAACACAACACCAAAAAAAACCAAAAAACCCAAAACAAGTAATCATTAAAAATGCGTAGAGGAGGGGTGCCTGGGTGGTGAGTCGGTTAAGTTGTGGGATCGAGCCCCACATCAGGCTCTGCATTCGTGGAGTCTGCTTGAGATTCTCTGCCCCACCCTCACCCCCGTCCTCGTGTTCACTTTCTAAATAAATAAACCTTTTTTTTAAAAAAGATTTATTTGGCAGAGAGACAGAGAGGGAACACAAGCAGGGGGAGTGGGAGAGGGAGAAGCATGCTTCCCGCTGAGCAAGGAGCCTAGTGCGGGGCTCGATCCCAGGACCCTGGGATCACGACCTTAGCCGAAGGCAGACGCTTAACTACTGAGCCACCCAGGCACCCCAATAAGTCTTTTAAAAGTTGAAAAAAAATGGGCAAAGGACCTGAACAGACATTTCTCCAAAGGCATACAGATGTCCAACAGACACATGAAAAGATGCTAATCATCACTCATAATCAGGGAAATACAAATCAAAACCACAATGAGTCATCACTTCACACCTGTCAGGATGGCTAAAGTCAACACGACAACACGTGTTGGTGTGGATGTGGAGCAGAGGGAACCCTTATGCACTGTTGGTGGGGATGAAAATTGGTGCAGCCACGGTGGAAAACTATGGAGCTACAATCCAGCAATTCTGTTTCTGGGTGTTTACCTGAAGAAGACAAATCATGTGAGAGTTGGTTGGAGCTCTCCACCCTCACCCCTCTGCTTCATTCTCAACCACCCTCAGGCTTCAGTAGCTTCTGCCAGAAACCCAGCGCCACCCTCATTTTCCTGCATCAAGGTGGAAGAGAGCTGCTCACTGCCTTCACTTGATGACTTGTCAACCTGACCACTAGACCTGCTCTGAGGGAGCTTACGGAGGGGTGGTTGCCTCTGCCTTGGCCCGTGTCTCTCAATCCACTGGGTTCTTTGGGACCCTTGGCCCCGTGCTGGTGGCCCAGACCCTCTTGTCCATTGGTGCCCAGCAAGCCACCCAAGCAAGGACTGGCCCAGCCAAATATTCTCCCCAAATTGAATAACTCTCAATTTCCCCAAAGAACCTACTACCCCCCAGCCCCCTCGTCCCCCACCCCTACTGTGCTGCCCTCTGGTGGTCACAAAGGTTACGCCAGGTCTGCCGCGAGCACCCGTGTTTGTGAAACTGAACTCCAAGGCACCTTCCTCCCAGCCTGCCACATCCACCGGAGGCCTGCTGGCACTGGGGAGGAGACTCCCTGACTCCGCCCTGACTCATTTTTATCCTGCGTTATCCTCCGCCTTGCACTCTCCACAGTCTAAATGCTATTAATTTACTTTTTGATTTCATGCATTCCCCACGTTGGACTGTGAGCTCTGTGGGGCCTGAGACCTTCGCTCTGCTTTGCTCGCCAATGTAGCCCAAGCGCCGGGCATAGTGTTTGGCAGTCTGTAGGTGTTGGGTAGGCCTTGGTTGAAGTAGCGAATGCGTGTGTGATGAGAACGCATCCAGCATCGCTGCTCTAACAACGAGCGTACAAGTCAGTAGACAACGTCAGCCCGTGCACACGGGACAGGTGACCTAGTCGGCAGAGCGATGCCGAAAGCTCCCAGGCCCCCGTCAGGGCGTCTTGTCCCGCATGTTTACAACACTTAACAAGGGGCCCTCGAAGGTCTCTCCCCGCCAGTGATGGTTGTGCTAGCGGGTTGTGCTAGCCGGTGTTGCCGGGTAAGCCCTGACAGTCGGGCTTTCCCTCTCTTGCAATGCGAGTGCTTGAGTTAAGATTTGCTTGCGGAGCACCTGCTTCCTTCAAAGACACTGCCCAGGGGTGCGGCTAATGTGCCCTGGGGGAGGACTAGGGGCGCGGGGCGCGGGCGGGCCACCCCGGTCCTCTGCGTTGGTGGCGGGCCGCCGCCAGGCCCATCGCCCCGCCTGCGGCCAGCCCCAGCGCGTGGCCCCGCCCCGGGACGTGGGGCGGACCGCACCCCTGGCCCGACGGGAGCGGAGGCTCGGCGGCAGGTGAGTTGCGCAGCGCCAGGGTGCGGGGAAGCGGCACGGCGAGCGGGGGTGGGGGTCCCTGCGCGCGAGGCACTCCGCGCGGGCCTGGGACGCAGGCGCAACCTCCGGTGCGCACGGAGGGCGGTGACGGCCCCGGGCGGTCTCGCGCGGACCCCGGGGCACCCCCGGCCGGCCCCCGCGCCTCGCGCAGGTAACCGCGGCGTCCGCGGCTGCCTGGCTTGGGGCTCAGTGGGCCCGGGACGCGCCCCTGTCTTCCAGTTCGGCCCGGTGGGCCCAGGCCGAGGGCGCCGCCCCCCTGCTCCTGTCCCCTGGGCGCGGCCCTGCGACTGGCCTGTTCTCACACGTGAAAGCATTAAGTGTCCTGTTGGGACCCTAGGGAGCAGCCCAACTGGTGGGGGTCCTGACTCGGGGAGAAGCAGTGAGACACGGCGTCTTTGGGGGGCGTTATCAGTTTTCATGGGGTTCTCGAAGGGATCCGTGACCCATAGAGGTTAAGAAGTGTCCCCCAAGTCCCAAGGACCAACCAAGAGGTTCCCCCAGGGTCTGGTCAAGCCGTGGGGTGGGGGAGGGGTGCGCTCAGTTGCTCCGTTCGGGTTTCCCGTTCTCGTTTTTTTTTTTTAATTTTATTTTATTATTTATTATTTGAGAGAGAGAGAGAGAGAGAAACAGCATGAGAGGGGATAGGGTCAGAGGGAGAAGCAGGCTCCCCGCTGAGCCGGGAGCCCGATGCGGGACTCGATCCTAGGACCCTGGGATCATGACCTGAGCAGAAGGCAGTCGCTTAACCAACTGAGCCACCCAGGCGCCCTCCCGTTCTCGTTCTCGTTCTCGTTCTCGTTCTCGTTCTCAACCTCAGATCACCTCGGGAGAGCCCAGCCCCCAGATGTCAGACTGGATTGGGAGAGAGGGTCCCTCTGACCTCGCCCCTCCCAGTCCCCTTCTCCAGTGATGATGACTAAGGATTCTTTT